AACAATCTTGCTTATTGGGGATTTCAAAATTCTTTAAATTGTTAATTCTGTATCCACTTTGACAAACAATTTGATTTTTATTCCTAGTTTTTTAAATATGGTATCAGTTGACCCAGTTGAAATACATATTATTGGTAACTGATAGGACATAGCACAGTATATGTGCCTTGCTATCATCAAAGATGTTTTATAGAAATTTTAGTAAGCCTTTTTACTAGGTCTATTTCAGACCACTTAATATCGGAAAAGGTCACTTGATGCAGAACTTCTCTTCCTACATTCACCAATTTGCTGTTCTATTACAGTATGATTCTATATTAAGTGAAGGCAAGGAAAAAGATCTATGGCCTCATTAGGGTACTTTTGCAAGTGAATTGCCACAAAATAAAAAAAAAAATACAAAGACTAAAATTGTGGGGAAACAAAATATATATATGCATTGTGTTGTGGAATTTATTGGTTAGTTGTGGGGAAAAATGTAAGATGTGGCAAAAATAGCACTATATCTGTAAAAATTATGTAGAAGTAGTGGCAATGCTCACAATCTGGATAATTGCTTGTGGTAGTTAGGGAGCCCTGTAGGGTGAGTGTTGCTACTGTATACATGTGACTTGCCAAAAAGAGCCAGCCTTTCAGTTCCAATTCTTCCTTCTTTTCACTCTTGTAGAGATTCACCTTGGGGTACTTCTTGTTTCAAGATTCTTTAATTGACAGCAATATCCCTCAATATCTTGCCTTATAATTTAAAACCCTTTGTTAAACAGTCTGATAGCCTTGTGCTTTCTATAAGTTAGACTTGTTGCAAACACATCTTCAAAGTAAGAAAATGATATGTTAACAAACCCTGCATATTAAATTTGTTTTGCTGCTGTAAGAAAAGTTAAAAAAAAAAACATCCTTACAGTAGATAGCTGAAGGGCAATAACAAGGTTCTTTGTTATTGACTGACTGGCTGATTAGTTAGGTAGAAGCAGTGTCTCTTAAGTTAATAACTTTCAAACCCACGCAAGATAATGCTCGGAATACAGCAGGCAAAACTGTCTCGAGGGTTTGGTTGATTGTGCATGCTTGGATTACGTAAAATGATGATAAATAACATTGTTGTTCCCGGTTCTTCTACGAAGTAAGTAAATCAATATCTGAAGTTGAAACTTCCTGTTACAAATGAATGGCATGGAATTATTTTTCAGGCTATCAAGAACTGACTAGATTCAGATGAAATGATCGCGAAATGTATGCATTATTTGCACAATGAGGGGTGCTGATACTGACTTCTTTCTTTCTTTTTTTTTTCTTTTTCTTAGATCCTAGGTTGAAAATTGTCAGATATGAGTCTTGAAAAACATGCAAAAACCCAATTTTGCACAGTACTTGTTAACTTGTCATTTTATCAGAGTTAAAAAAACATATATTTTGTTTAGATTTCCATTAATGATTACCATGGATAGCACCTATTTATAGGTGCTTCACGCAAAACATTTTATAATAAAATAAATTTTTTCTGGGGATCTCAATAATATCCACACACTAAAATACTAAATAGTCAGATTTTCAAATTAAAGATATCCTGAAAATAATTATTGTAGGCTAAGGAAGTGGTATCTAGTAATTCTCTTACATCTAAATTGAAAAACTGAAGACAGTGGAACTCTGTGTACTGTCCTCTTAACATGTACTTTAACAGCACTCTTGATATCTTTAAAGACAAAATTAACACCCATTTATAAAAGATGTGGCTCTCTATGGGCGCATTCCCATAGATTTTAGATCGATCCATCTCCGTGGAGAGTCTCACTAGATTACTGTCAGATAATCCGGCTTAAAAGTCCGTCCCGCCTACTACAAGGTAAGGGGGTAATTAACTTTTGTATCCGCTCGGCTGACAGCTATTTAGCGTGAACCCCCAGGGAGTTAGGTCGATCTAGTTGGATCGATCTAATCTCTGGGAGTGGGGTCTATGTGAAGAGTTGCCATTAGGTTGCAGAAGTTTGTGAAGTTTATTAATGTTTTGTATTGATAAATAAACAGAGATTTCTGCTTCATGACAATGTGGTTTATCCTCTGTCTTTTATAGACATTTCAAATAGTTGCAGTCTGTTTAGCATATTACAGTTAGATAAAGACCTGCATTTATATACCACACATACGTGACAAATGGCTTCTGTATATTTTATATGATGAATAGCTAAGTTTGGTTAGAATTGTATGCAGCCAAAGGTTGAAACAGTACAGATGAATTTTTAAGGAGATTTATAGATTGCTGAAAGATACTCATTGAACCTACCTCCTAGGTCTTCAGTTAGAGATTTATCAGTGGATGGATGGTTAATCCTCAGCTGATCTGTGTGACTAATTAGTAGTAGGTCACTGGAAAAGCGGTATCAGCAGTTACAGAGTTATCGGGAGTCAAATTAGTCATTCAGCAGGAATCATCAAGCTAATTATATGATGCTCAGTGTGGTTTTTCTAATAATTTGCCATAAAGCGGATTTTTTATAATTATTATTTTATTATTTTTTACATTTTTTTTACCTCTATTTTTTAAATGCATTTCCGAGCAAGTAATCTGTTGCGACTAGAAATCTAAAACTAAAAGTATTAATTTATGGGTTTTTTCTGTTATTTCTGTAACCTTCTCAGTAGCTCCAGGTCTGCGGAGGGTCTGTAAACACGCAGGTCCCCAGACATTCCCCACCATGCTATAAATAGCTGGGCCAGTCAGGTGGTTTCCTGCCCACCTTGGGCTTCCATTACTGGCATATGGCCATGGACTTTGCCATTCAGAAGTAATGTGATCAACCACATGAGTTGCTCTTTGATTTTAAGCTACCAAATATTTGATAATCCTTTCAGCCTATTCATCATATGCTCTCAATATTGGGTTATGAATGAATGCCACCTACGCATGTGGATAGCTTAATGTACATGCTTTTTAGCTGAAATCCTGTGACCTAAATACCAGGCATTGCTGGCGTATTCAGCTTCAGGCCAGTCAAAAGTCAGCAGCTCTGAATTCTAGAGCAATTACACTGACTTTGTGAATGGTTTGGTGTGGGAATACTTTTCTAGGTCAGCTCACAGGCTGCCATGACAACTGAATTCAGGAATTTTGGCGCATAGCCGGCTGGAGCGGAAATACTGTACAAATGTAATGGTATGCTGGTGGCATTATTGCAGTGTTTTTCATGATAACCGCATCTCCTTCCTGTCAGCCGCCGATGTTGTGTCCATGGTGGATCTACAGACCTTGGGATAACCAGGTCCTGGATCTCTCAGTCAAAGGTAGTTTTGAGTAGTAGTGTTCAGTGGTGGTGGTGTTGGTGGTTTGTAGTGAATGAGGGTTGGAGTCTTTGTCTGGTTATATTGCCAGTTCAAAGCTGTGATGTGCCTGCCATGTGGCAGAGAAGACTTAAGGGATATAGGATGTGTACCATAAGTACTTTACATCCTGATTCGGGTTTCATTAGTTCTCTGCCTCAGACATTTTTTTTTTTTAGAAACTGTGACCTAGGGATCATTGGAGTAAACACTTCATAGGGAATGGAAATATTTGATGCTGCACCTTTCTTTCACCAACGCTTAACCTTGAGCCATATTAGCCATCTCCCGGTTAACCAGGTGATCTGCCTACTTACTATCAATGATGCATCTCGTGCTGTAACATATGTTTAAGAGAAGATTGTTCTGAAAATATGATAATGAGTCCTTTGATGGATCGGGATGGAAAAGATCATCTATTTTAATGGTTTGTTGGTGAAATGTTTCAGGGACATTTGATTTTTTGGAAACTGAAGTAATGTGCTGGTTTATTTTTTGTTGGCCTGCCCAGACAGGATGACGGCACACATTTGCGTATGGTTTACGTGAACACAGCATCTAAAAGAATAGGAGGAAAAGTACGCTTTCTTGATAATATTTTCAGGTCTGAAGGGAATTATTAACCATAAGAGCTGTTTTCGTTAAATCTGTGGCTGGCGGATGTAGGCTCCATTAACCTGATTGATAAATAAATTATACAGGAAATGAGTATATTGACATAATTGACCCAGGGTTCTCCAGACTGGTTGCAGGTGTACTAAGCTCAATAGAGGCAGGCTAAAGAGTAATGATAATTATTAAAAAAAAAAAAAAAACATAAGAAACATGTAATATCGGTAGACACATTATATTGTCTTTAGCCCAAATGGGTTGAAGAATTTGATGTTCTAGGGAAAAGGGTATTTTAGGAACCTAATCTGGCTTTTAAGTTAATGGTTAATTTTGAAAAGGGGATTTCTAGGTATAATTGAAATTTCCGGATATATTTATCAGCATGTTTTATGGTTAGATTTGTAATTGACATTAATATTAAATTACAGTGATCTAGTTCAAACGTATATTTAGGAAAAAATATTTGATATAAGGTGGAAGTAGTCCATATTTTGTTATTTAACCATTTAAATTGATGAAATCAAGATGATCATTGGATAATGAAGAAAACACATTTGCTGAAAGGTAAACAGAAAACTATAGCCGTATATATATGTGTATTGATGCCATTATTTATATTGATTATTTCCTTCCATGCTGTATATTTGAATTATAATTTACTGTCATTTGTAATTTCTTTCTACTAATGTGTTCTGTCAATTTTTCTAATGCTGAGTAATGTGGATTATGCTGGTGTCCTTGAAATCTGGTGACACCTCTGAACTGTCTCGGCACGTAAAGGTTAACCTACAAAAAGGAACCTAAGGGCATTGAAAAAGGGTCCACAAGAAGAAAATATAAAGTGGCTATTCTGATGCAGACTGTTTGTTTAAGGGGTGACAACTGCACAGAATGTCTCAAGAATTATAAATTGTTGGTTCACGGGGAGCACCCCAAATGAAGGGTTGTTGATTTGGATATATGAGTGTTTGCAACAGACTTGACATTTTTTTAGGGTGTAAAAGGCAGTGGAAAGTACTTATGGCTTAGTAACAGTTTTGTTCTGAATTTTTATTATTTATTTATTGCAGGTAACCATGGCAACCCAAAGCAGCATAACCCCCTCAATGCTCACAACCCCCACCCTGGAGAACAAGGCAGTAATGGGGGTGGAGACCCGCAGCTGGTCCCAGAGAAGCCCAGAGGAAAAGGACGCCCCTCCAAGTCTGGGGGGTCCCCGGGGAGAGGGGGCGTGCACTGCCAGGTGTGTCAAAAGGCATTCAACAACTCCAGTGCACTGGCTAAACACAAGCTAACTCACAGTGATGAGAGGAAATATGTCTGCCCTATCTGTTCCAAGGCCTTCAAGCGGCAGGACCACTTGTAAGTAGAACAGTACTCTCTCCCTTTTGCCGGATTTTTTTCCTGGTCAGGTCTACAGTGCACAGACTTTGACCTTTACTTAATACACTATCGTTACACTGTAGAAGGTATATTGTTCATTTATTACAATTGCAATTGATACCAGCCTTGTAATGATATATTTTTGTATAGGGTTTCCTGAATTATTTTGTCTGTGCTGAGATAAGAAAGATTAGAGGGTTATATGAGGCGGTCTTATGACCAAAAATATACCCCATGTTACCTGAATCATATCTGATTTCTGTGTAACATGATTTGGCACTGTCAGTTATTCATTGTGTTCAGGCAGGAATTAATACATAGCATGTGGAGCTAATGGCCTTACATTATGCAAATAAAAATGTAACAGTGAACTAGTTTTTGTACAATAATTAGGTTACAAAAGCAGTATGTTGTTTCTGTTAGTTCGAACCAGTTGTACTTAGGCAATCTTTAAATCGAGTGGTACATGTATGTAGCGTGTCATCTTTGCAGTCTCCACTTTGCTGGAGAAGATTTTTTGCTCAGCTCACATATTAAGTGTAATAAAACGGTGTGTGTGTGTGTGTGTGTGTGTGTGTGTGTGTGTGTGTGTGTGTGTGTATTTGCTGAAATATATAAATTCTAATACTACTGCTATTTTAAAATTTAAATACTAAAACTGGTCCTTTCATGTTATTATGCAATAGCTGGAGAAGGGGGGTGTAACTCCCTCACACAAGTTGGTTTCCAGCAGTTTGGGGAGAATGCTACCTGGCTATGTACTAATCAAAACTAATCTAGTTAACTGACAAATATATACTGCTCTGCCTCAACTTGAAAAGGACTTAAGATTAATGAATGATATGTTTCTGATTTTTTCCCAATACTCATTTATAATCAAAAGTGACCTGTTTTCTGTCATTTTAAGGAATGGTCATATGATGACACACAGGAGCAAGAAGCCTTATGAATGCAAATTTGAAGGATGTGATAAAAGTTATTGCGACGCCCGTTCTTTGCGAAGGCATCTGGAAAATCACCATCAAGCGTCTCAAGACATGATCACAACCTCGACTGTGACTGCCATGACGGTTATTCCCCCTGTTGCCGAGCAGTCTGGACAGTTTCCTTCGGGCAGAACTGGAAACACGCAGGGAGGACAGTTTTTCCAGTTTGAACAGTCACAAGAAAATAGTGGCTCCCAGTGGCAGCAGAATTTGAATGTGAATCGTTGGCAGCGGCCGGGGGACAGATCCCCAGGGTATCTACAGCAGGTTAGCCCTATCAGCCCAGCCCCAGGTCAGGGCGGGGTGCCTACCAGCCCACTGCAGAGACAGGCAGCTGGTGTGTGGGGCTTTCCTAATCCACTGTAAGTGCACTGTTGTAGATCAGGTGTCTTGTTTGGTTAATGGGAAATCTAAGGGAGATGAATTCTGTGGTATTTGAATGTAAGTCATAGAGTGTTTTTGTGATAGCTGTAAGATATCATTCCTTTTTAAATATTTATTTATTTATTTATTTATTTATTTATTTATTTATTTATTTATTTATTTATTTATTGTTTTATTATTTATTGGAAGACACTAAAAGGTATCAGGGACTAAATTAACAAAATTAGTATGCATTATAAGGTATTTGTATACCCTATATGATTATAGTATAAAATTTGTGTTTTTAAACTCTATTCAGCAAAACATTTAGTATTTAATTCTTTATTATAATTCATAGTCAGTTTTTTCCAGGAATTTTTCCTTTTTGAATTTTATTCAAAAGTCATTTATGCATTTTTAGCACTTGAGTGTCTCAATATTAGTATGCAGGTGTTTTAAGTGGATTTTTATGTTAAATTAGGAGTGGCTTAGAATAAGATTAAAACTGAAGTAGGTTAGGATCAAACGTGCATGTAGGTTTCAAAAACAAACAAACGAAAAAAAAAAAAAAAACAGGATAATTTTTTCATTACACCTCAAGATGACACAATGATTCAGCAAAATTTGCTTTTGAAAGCAGTTGTCTGTTCTGCTCATTCCACGCTCTAAAAGCCTGTCATGGTCAATTTAAACTGTGGATCAGATAATGATCAGACAGTTTTCTGTAGCATGACTAGGGTGTAAGTAAAAGAGAAGGAGAATTCCTTTGAACTGAGGGATGTACCTGAATATGCATGTAATGTTACTGAGTGCAGATCCATTTCCTGCGGTACTCGAGCACTGTCAATGCGATCTCTTGGATAAGGGGAGATCAGTTAGACCTTGTTACATTATTGTGAAGAAATTCGAGGTGTGCGGTTCTTCGCTGAATGGCTCTGATATTTGAATATGTCAGTTCGAAAAAAAAAAAAAAAGAAGGAAAATGTGAATAGCAGGAAGCGCAAGTTAGCAGATGCATGGCAGTTAATTTTGAAGAGGCGTTTGTCTCTTGGCAAATTAAATATTAGATATAAAAATAGGCCTGAAAATGTCCATTTATTATTAAAGCTACAAATAATGGATGGATCTTGGTGAAACTCACTTTCAGTATTTTTTCCATAATGTCTCTGAGGGTGTTTTTAAGTGGTAATTCTATTTACTCCTCTTAGCAAAGCAGAAACTGTGTTTTAGGAAAAAGGGTGGCTGTCACATGACAGGCCAGACGTCATGCCTGTCTCCCAGCTCTAAGGGCCGGCATGAGTGCCCTGGTGACATTATTTTTAGTGCCCTGGTGACATTATTCATTCTCACCACAGCACCTGTCTCTCTCTCTCTCTCTTGGTTCAGGCCAGATTTTGGGTGGGATAAAAGCAGTTATGTGAGGATGTCATGCATCAGGAGTCTCCGCACATTCCTTACCCTTGACCCCCTGCCCCGCAGATATACTGAATATGCAAGTTAGAAGAGGGAAGCGTATGTATGTATATACAGAAGGAATGCATTTGGAGGATTTTGCAGGAAAGTGTTAACTGGTATTCTGGATGGAAACAGAGTTTCTTGTTGGCATTTTCTTCTTGGTGATAGAGTGCAAGGTTACTGGATGGTACCAGTATTAGAAAAAGCCACCCAGGGATTTGGTGCATTCTGTGCACTGCAGATTTGCTGACCTAGAAATATTTTAAGAGGCCTGGACTGTAATTGTCTAGACACAGAGAGATGACTACTTTGTGGCTGTTCCTTTTGACAGCAGGTTAGTTTTAACAAACCACACTCTAATTTGCATGTTTTGAACATCTTTTTGGCATTTTATTGCAAGGGAGACTCAAGTTGGTGTGATATAAATACTGATCCAGGATGTTTTTTTAAGACATTCATTGCTATATATCAGTACCCTATATGGTTGGATGTATGCCAACTGAGGTTGAGTTGCAAGGCAGACACCTGTATTTTAAGTCTGTGACTGCGCATGGTGCAGGAGGCATGTGGGTGTACATATAGCCAGCTATATAATGTGTCTAGTCTTTTTTCTCTTTTTTCTTGCTAACGAACAACCTGTTGCATGACTTTCCCTTTTGAAATGTTACATGCAATAGCGTGTCAAGTAATTTTCTTGCCAATGAACAACCTGTTGCGTAACTGTCCCTTTTAAAATGTTAAATGCAGTGAAACATCTGAATAATTTATCGGATGTGATCGGGGTGGGTCGGCACTAGTTATGGCACTAATGTGCCGTTTAAGGCCTGCATTCACAGTTGCGCAAAAACATTTTTATAAAAAAAAAATTGTGCATAAGAAGTTGAATCATTTCCTCTCACTGCTTTGTGTTTAATTGTATAATTTTTTGTCCTCAATCAGTGAGGTGTTTGGTGAAAAAAAGAAGAAATGGATTTTCATGGTTTGGGTATTGGAATATTTCTTGTACATAAAGCACACCTGGGCTCCTTGATGCCAGTCATTACATATGCCTGGAATGAGGGGTATTTTGTCACTGATATCTAGGGTCTAATCTTACTTCTCATATTTATGAATGGCTGTTGGCAGCATGTTTTACCTTATTTTACCCAGGATCCTGTTACAATTCACATGTGACCAGTTTCTTCTGATTTTGTAATGACAAAAACATGCTGTTTTTTGGTCATCATTACGTGAGAGGATAATATGCTATTATTATTATTATTTTATGCACTGTAGTTAGCTACAGATCAAACATAAGATTTGTGTCATCTTGGATTATTATTGATTGATTGATTTTGATGTTTTTTAAAATTTGTGACAAGATAATTTCAAAAGAAAAATAAATCAATATTTCAATAGTTAACAGTTAAAAGAATACAGAAGGGAAATGATACTCACTTTGAATTACCTCCCCCCCCTTCACCTCTTTATTGATTAATTACTTTCTGTATTTGAAACCTAAATATTCGGGTACAAAGGGGTACAAACCCTCCATTCATGTAATAATTGATTAATAACCGTTAGGCTTTCTCCATCGACCTTTGAAGAATGCCTTTTCAAAGAGCCACAACAGCGGGCATTGTGAAATTGCCTAGTGTTCTAGTTGTAGGCTCCATATAGGATTCAGTGTTTTACCAGCCAAAGGAAAGAGGTGCTTTGGATTTGTCCTTGGATGATCACATTTATGTGTGCAGCACTAAGTTCTTGGAATATGTGATTGCTTACCCGCATACACTAATCATAAATCGAAGCATCTAAGTTATAATGACTGGCCACATTTATTTTCCCTCTGATTCTTCCGGGTCACCTTACACACATCTCTCATATACACAGAAGAGCATGCCCTGAAAATATCCTGCCACAAAAATTTTGTGGGTTTATATTTGCATTAAAGGTCCACACAGGAGTCTGTAGAAGAGCACCAAAACTTCAGTCATATAGTGTTGATGGTGTGTATTATGCCATTAGCATGCTTGCCAATAGTAATAGAGCAAAGATATTTATATGTCAAATATTTTTGAATTAATGGCAGGTGTGTTGAGTTTGCCTTGAGTTTACTCATGATTTTATGATTCTTGAATTTCTTGTATTGACAAGCCCATTCTCTCTCTCTCACACACACACACACACACACACACACACACAAACACACACACACACTATAATGCATTGTCTGGTAAAAGGTTGAACCAAATCATTAGGTCTCAGTAATGTGCCATTTTGTTTATTTCAGTGTGGGCACTTCCATGCAAAAGAATGTGCAAAGTTATTAAAGGATTTTTAAACATAAATTCATGGTTATTAGTTATGATAGATTCTCAGAACTTGAGAAGTTTGAATATTTTGACTCTTTTTGATGTCATTTTCAAGGCCACTAGTTCACAAGTTTTGGGTTTACAACTGCCCAGAGGAAATAGATCAATAATAATAATATTGTAGTGCATTTTGCTTTCATTGCCTTTGCTGGGGCTCTGTATTTTGAGATGTATAAGAAGATAACACCCTGCTCACGATCTGCAGTTTCTCATGAGACTGCTGATTGCATTTTCTGGGTTGCAGGACATAGAAACGGGAGGCATCTAGGTAAATCCAAACGTAACTTTAAGATATGCACATATTCAAACCAACTCTTTCTGTTCCAGGAATGAGCCCAAGCCAGTGGAATGCAGCATGTGCCATAGGCGTTTTAAGAACATCCCAGCACTAAACGGCCACATGCGGCTCCATGGAGGATATTTTAAGAAAGTTAGCGTGAGTTTTGAAAAGAGAATTGTTTTGCCTTTGCACTTTGTTTCAAGAGAAATAATTGATTTTCATGTACAGTTTTAAAGATGATTATTGTGATGCACAGGAAGCGGCTTTAGGTTGGCAACCTGTATGCTAATTATCTACAACACTTATTGACATTTTTCTTTAACTAAAGGAAATAAAACTAGACATTAAAATCCTGCTGCAGTTTACTTTGAAGACAATTATAGTATTTGCACTGATACTTCACCAAAAACTGATGAATCCACAATGTATCTTTCGCCATTATTGTTGAGCATTCAGAATTATTTATGAATAGATAGATAAAATAAACTGGGTATGCTTGAAGAAAAATAGCAGTCCCTTTAACATTTATTTAAAAATAACGCCATCCAAATGTTGTACTGCAGATATTCAATACATCCTCCCATTATGTATGACAGGTTCTCCAATTTTAAGTCAGTATTATCAATTTATTCAAGTTGACTGTGCACATTATTAAAATGAGCTCTGTTGCTGTATGTTTAAGTAATAACCCAGGCTTATGCATTCTCTAACTTGTCCTTGAGACACAGTTCTTAAAACAAAAACCAATTAGATTGCTACCATCCCATTGTGATTTGGTAGCTGTTCTTAAAGATAACACGCTAGAAGTGCAGAGAGGTAAACCATAGCATGTGGGCAGGTAATGAAAATAAGTGCACAAAGTGGGAGTTAGTTTCATTTCCCTAAGCAGGATATGTACATTTTAGGTGCTAGATTTGAGCACGAACTTAGTTATCTGCTTTTGTGTACTAAAGTTTCTGGGCTCATTTGACATAAAACTTGTGATTAGAAGCTCTTTTCACAATTAAAAATTATGCTTGAATTGAAAACCACCCGATCTAAAGGTATACTACTCATGTTTGGAAATGTCTCAAAATTATTTATATTTTCTACGTACATATGGTCTGCAAAGCCACTGATCTCCCCCCTTTCCCCCCACCTTTATGACCTTGAAAATAATACCCCTCCCTGTCCCACATCCACACAACAAAAACAATGAATAAATAAATAGTGAAGTACGTGCTGACCATAATTTACTTATAAAATGTACAAGAAGACATGACGGTCTAATTAACTGTTTAGTTATAAAAAACTAAATTATTTAATTAGAAACCATAGAAAACTTCCAATCCAAGTGCAGACACAGGTCGAGCAATGATTCTTGAGCAGGAGAAAATTGTTCTTTAAGGTTATATATTTAAACAAGCTGTTTGTGTTCTTTAATATAGTGGAAATTTCAAATAATTTGCAAAACTGAACTCTTTTTCCTTTGCACATAGGACTTGGAGAAAGATGAATCAAAGAAAGATAAAGAAGAGGGTAATAGCGAGTCCCAGCCTCCGGAGCTGACCCCACAGCCCCCGGCCAGTTCATCTGGTGCTGACAGTAATAGCAGCAACGCCAGTCTCACTGAAGCAAGGAACATGTCCCTAGCTCAACACTTACAGCAGCCAATACAACAACAGCAACAACAACAACAACATCAGCCAATACAGCAGCAGCAACAACATCAACAGTTACAGCAACCGATGGGACCTCCCAAATTGGAACCTGCTATTTCTGTCAAATTAGAATCGAGTTTAGCAGTCAGTTCAAATCAGGGACAGCCGACAAATTTTGTGTCGACGAGCCACATGACAGCTGGGCAGTTATCGGTGAAAAAAGTCAATGTTATGCCCCCTCCAAGCTCAGTTCATTTACCACTATCTGGGGGTTTCAGTATGTCTCAATCCCAAAGTTTAAACAGTGATGAAGGGTTATTGTCGAGTTTTGCTGGTGTAGCAGTTGGTAGAGAGTTAGGTATGGAACAAACAGGAGTTGGAGTAAAGCCGTCCAGTGCTAATACAAGGATTCCTTCAGCGTTTACTTTCACTGATGCTGACAGTGTTAAAACAAAGCAAAAGCTTTTACAGGCCTTACAAGAACCCTCATTTCGCCCTATTCAGCAGGAAAATTTGTTACGGCCAATGCAGGAAGTGAATGAGAGAAAAAGACACGCAAGTGCTGACCCAGACAAATTTACTTCCCCGACCAGGAAAAATTCCTTAACGTCTCCAGGCAGCTTAGCCTATATGTTAACAAATTTTCAAAAAACTGGCAGCACTGTAAAATGTGAACTTGAAAAGAGAAGATCTCAGGAATTTTTTGATCAGGACGAAATGTTTGTGCGTCCTGAGCCCGTGCGATCTCGGAGTCGCCCGGACGAGCACAGTATAGGGCGACCACGGAGTAGGACGGATGATCCATTCCATGCTAGAAAAGGGATTGAAGAGGGAATGGGGGTTTTCAGGAACCCAGGTGCCATGCACGGCAGTCAGATCAAGGCAAAAAGAAAACACAGGCCCGAGCCTCTTGTGATTCCGCAAAACATGAGCCATTTTGGCTTTCAGAGTAGGCTGCGGTCGCCTAGAATTTGGGAACCCAGTGGGGCGGAGAAAAAAACGGGGCATACTCCACCCCCGTACACCCCACCACCAATGCTTAGTCCTGTGAGGAGCGGGTCAGGATTGTTCTGGAGCATACAGCCACACCCACTTAGGCCTGTTACACCAAAGTCTGCACCTGTAACGCCAAAGATCAGAAGAGGTAAAGATTTTATTTTGAACAGGTGTAATCCTGCTGTGAAGATAGCCAATGGAAGTCGTGAAACAAATTTGAAACTGTCATTTTTTTTAAAATAATTTTTGCCTCAGTGGTGAATGTCCTGTTTTAATAAGTTTTAGGAAAATGTAACTGTGCTTGTAAATAGTGAAATAATATTATTGCTGTGATAACTAACATGAAACATGAAACGTGTTTCAGGGAGTTTTGGATTGAGTCACAGTGTAGGTGGCGTGACCAGCTGGTCCGGTCTCATTCAAACAAAAGAGCCCATTAAAGAGGAAGAAGATGAGGAAGAAGAGGAAGAAGAAGAGGGCACAGAGGTTGAGGAAGAAACACAAATTGAGCCACCACCAGAAACTGACATACAACCGTAAGTATTAGCACAGTTATGCACAGGGTGTATAGATAATCAGAATAGTCAAAAATAAAAGGTAGAAAGTAGATAGGTCAAAACCAATTGGGGAATATAACAAAGTGTTTGTTGTACTGCAGTAGGAATTTAATTAATTGTTAAAAAAAAACCCTAAACTCATTGGCAGAGTTAAGGTCCCAAGAGTTCTCCCCCACCTTCAAATACAAATTACTTAAGTGACATTTAATAGTGATAAGATTTGTAGCTGGTGTCAGTAATACTACACTTCATTTTCTTACATTGCATAGTATGTGTAAATAATTGTTACATTTTCTTCAGACATGTAAATATAGGACCTCAGTACCAAGCTGATGTTCCTTCTTGCTTAGGTAAGTGCAGCAAAAAGTCAAATAAGGAAAATTAGAAATAACCATTAATGTGATTGAGTATAGTGAGAAAGCTGTCCCAGTATTGTATTCTTAATATGTCTAAGTGCTTATTCATTACAAGACCTAAATAAGATGTTTGACATTTGTATTAAAGTATTATCAATTGGTGTATTGTAGAAAGCCGCAATAGAATTTATTTTGACGACCGAGTGAGGGAAGACCTGGTGTGGGACCCAGCAATTATAGATCATACTACTGAAGATGAAGGTAAGATATTTTAATGGCTAAACTAAAAGTTTGTGCTGAAGGACCTTTGCTACACCTCACCAGTGTATTTTTTGAAGTTCCACATTCTGAATACTTTGCTATTCTTTCCTTCACTAAAGGCATGAGGATAACCAAATATATATATTTTTTTCAGTTTAGTGAAAAGATATTCATTTTGACCATTATTAACTGTGCTGGTATAAATTATTTTGCATCTACTTAAGGATTGAATGTCTCTTTGAAATAGCTATAGAAAGTTGATGGCTTTTAATATTATGAAAATATAATATATTTGAAAGATATTTTCTTTCTTTATTTATTTATTTATCTAATGGGAGCAAACTTCTCTTAGGAATAGCTAAAGAAAGTTGTAAGACTGATTTTTGGGATTTGTTTGTATGTTTTCAGTTCAGTCATATCAAGAGTTTGCTAGCTGTGCTGCAGTGCCTGGGAATGGAGTCAACATGGAATATGCCTTACACTTATTACACATTGTGAAGGGAGACGTACAGGTAGGTGCTGAACCTCAACGTATTTATATTTATAACTGTCTAAAATATAATAAGAAGATGTAAGATTGGGCTGTCGGGAGTGCTCCTTAATGGATAAATTGAGAAAAGTTAAAGAGATGATGAACAATGCTGACCCTTATGCGGGGTATATCTAAATATGTGGTTTCTTGATGTGATATAGTAATAGTTGTTGGTGCAGGGAGCTGTTCAGGGTTGGGGTGCTACCATCTACCCTTTGTGTAAGATATGTATAATAGTCTTCAGTAGAAGAAAGGACTGGGCGACTAGGACTTGTGCTTCAGTGTCTCACCTTGTGTCACTGTGCCATCTTGAGGGTACAGTGTACACAGGCTTGCTGGAGAGACTGTTGAAGAAAGCTAATAAGATAAATTCAGCTTCATATCCAGTGCTATCAGTTTTGTACCATGGATTTAATATTTATAAAAGAGTTCGTGTGATATGAGCTTTTATGTTTTACTGGTTTCTAAGTTGAAACTGAATTTCAATTTTTAATTTCAGAAAGCAATTTTGGAACTTATGAAGGCAACACCAAAGCTACCTAATAGACATCCACTTGTGACCTTTTCATATCAAGGCATGTATTTTGTATATTGAATAAATATGGTACTTGAATTAATTTAACTACAACATCGGGTTTTAATGGTGCTTTTAGGCATTTGCATTCTAAAAGATGTTATATTCCACGAAGATTATTGCCTTCATGCTTTTCACAAAGAATTTGTCACTTTCCCTGTGGATCTTTTTGATGAATTCAGATCCAAATGTCTCATGGGGCTTATTGGGATGTTAGTGAATTATTATTAATTTTTTTAGGTTATATATATATTAAGTTTACCTAAAAAGTGAACATTGCATTTATAAGAATGATAAAATGGCTGATCACCAAATTAATATGTGGTGCACTATTTATATTTATATACTTTATTTTTCAATTATGTAGAATCTGACACTTGGAGCTCAGAGGAAATAGAAGCATTCATAGAAGGGATGCTGAAATTTGACAAAGATTTTTTCAATGTTTCCAAAGAGGTAAGTAATGATCAGGTTTAAAAGAGCTAGGAAGTGAATACTGATAGGAAATAGTGTGAAATCATATGATGCCGTGTAAATGATGTAATATGATATATTGTAATATATTTATTAGTAGAACACTTATGATAGATTTTACTATTTTAAGTATATTACATACAGCATGTTAGAGCATTCACTAATAATTTACCCAGGTTTGCATAGTTCCATCCCATTCTTGCAGGTGAAAACCAAAACTACCAAACAGTGCATACAGTTCTACTATCTGTGGAAGAAAGTTTGTCTAGACGAATACAAACGTATGCGGATATTGCGTAGAAAACGCACTGACGATGACATTTACAACTTGCGCTCAAGAGCGGCTCAGCAGGATGACTTGGAACATCAGCAGCAGACGCAGGCAGACAGTGATGATTCTGACGACGATTCGTCTGCTACTGGAAATGTAGAGGAACCGAATGTATGTTATTTACTTCATTGTAAAATTTTTAATTGTTTTTGAATCCCAAAGTCAGTCATGGTTTTACATCAACACCTCTTTAATAATGATGTTCTTAAATTCTTTTTTAAATGCTTTCAATGTGGCACTGCCATTATGAAGCACATAAATTATGCTGTGTGGATATTTAATTGATATTTAATTATTTCCAGGAAAAGGAACCAGATGCCTCCAATGGTGTCCAAATAGTTTACACTTGTGCCTACCCAAATTGTAATGCAGTAAGTATCTATTTATATGAAAAGAATAATTCAAGGAAAATTAAAAAAAAATACACAACTGTTTTTAAACGTTTTTTTTTTTTTTTTTTTTTTTTTTTTTTTTTTTTCATAAATATGTTTAAATATCTGTTCATTTTTTATCTAGTCATTTCCATCAAAACAAGCACTTAGTGGCCATATAAGAATCCATGTGAACAGTAGTGAAGGGAACACAAGAAAGTCTGCAGAACCCAGTCCTCATCGAAGTCCTCACAGAAAGGAGGGGACAGGTCCCCCATCTAACAAATCAACAGTATCAGAGGGAGTAGAGGAGTTTCCATGCAAGATTTGTGGAAAGTAAGGAAATTGGCATTGGAGATAACTATTCACATTTTTCTTTGATATGAATCGGATATTGGCATGTATTTAGTATCTGTAGGTATATTTGGGACAAATGGGCCTTAAATGTCATGTAATTGTTTTAAACATTATTGTCCATATCAGAAAAATTTTTAATTTTTAAATAAAGTCATATTATTAGTGTAATTATATCAGTTCATATATAGTTTTTCCCCATCCACATGAGCACTTATGACATTCAGCTTATTGTTTGGGCAGTAAGGGGGTTTTAGTCTGTTAAAAACTTGAACGATAGAACATGCTGAAGTAATACAATTATTCTTTTTCATTTCAGAGTATTTTACAAAGTGAAAAGTCGGAGTGCTCATATGAAGAGTCACAGTGACAAAGAAAGAAATCGTAAAAATGCCCTTGCAGCACAGAATAATAGTCCATATTCACCATACTCCGATACCTAAGGATTTGGAACTCCTACTGCAATGTTTGTCTTAAAGACTGTTGCATGGAATTTTATAAAACACATTTTTTTACAGATTAATTCAACTTTGTCAATAGCAAGGCTGAAACTATAAGTGTTGACCTAAGTATTTTGATATTTTGGCATGTTGGAATTGCCATGCCTTGTCTCTGCATTATTTATCAAAAATAATGCCCCTACTGATAATCTGACTGGTGGATATAAAATATAATAGAAATTATTGTTTTAACAGTGCCAAAGACACTGAGTGTTTGCCGACAGCACTGGGTTATAATAAAAATGTTGTATAAATGTGTATAATTTTAAGTATCTTATTTTCTGAGCTGAAAAAAAAGCATGATGAGAATTTACTATAAAAAATTTTATATGTTTATAGCATCTATTTAACTTAGTAAGAGCAGTGTTTCATAATTCATTCCCCTTTTGTCACATTTTTCATTTGCCTTAGATTGCCTTTTTACTGCAGGAATAGAGAAGCAACATGATATTCCATGCTACTCCTAGAAGTTTGATTGTTACTGATTTTTTTTTTTTTTTTTGTCTGGCTAAAGAAAAGCCAAAAATTTAGGGGTTTATCCCCCCCAATATATGCCTGTAGTATGAAAGTAAGTTATTTGCTTTGAATGAAACACACTAGGTAAACTGACCTCAGTAGTTATATCAGTCAGTACAATGTTAATCAAAGATGAGGCTAAATATGTGCAATCAGTGAATACCATAATACTGGCTTCGTTTGGGAATTTTTATATCATCATGTTTTTTTAGTGAAATATTTGTAAAAATCTAATACTAAGCTAAGTATATTTTAAGTGTGCAGCGGTTGTATTTAAGGGTGCCAACTTGTACAGGTAACCCCAAAGTTACAATAGAGAGGATCATGCTTCATGTTTGTACTATATACAACTTCACTAAGCTTTACTGCACACCATGGAGAAGAGAAAACAAACATATTAAAGAAGTAAAAGAAATATATTCCCATTTACAAAAGAAGTGTCAAATTAATTCACCTATTTTTGTATCTGTATGTCTATGGTGTTCTTTGTCTCCAGATATTGCAGGTATTGTGATAACATTGTGCTTTGTGATAGATGTATATAGATAGAAATATATATATATATATAATGCACACAGCAGAAGAGGAAGGCAATCAGTGATTGAGATTGTTGTCATACTTGGACATTGTTATGGAATTTTACATGCAGAGCTTTACTAATGACCTAATTAAAGAAAAGATGGATGTACGTTAGTGACAGTGGAGAAATGTTTTAAAGTTAAAATTGGATATAGGTTAAGCACATAATGCATAATAATGTATTTGCTGCTTTTAGATATGTCTTATAACAATTTTTTTTGTAAAACTGCCATTTTGCATTTGATATATAGTGTTACTGATTATACGTATGGAAAAGAGATTCTTACATGTAGAGTCATGTATAATGAAATGAGCATTCTATTGTTAAGGTTTTAGTGTACTTGTTGTGGATACTCTTGGTATTGCAACATTATCAAATTTGCAATATTTTCCTTATTTTTTTGTGGAGAAAAAATTATATATTACTCAAACCAATTAAAAGTTTAATTTTATGAACTTCAGTTTTAGTATGTGGTTGATCACACATAAACATTTGCTAAATAGTCATTTTGCCCAAAGACTGAATACATTCCAAATATGAGCACCTACAAAATACTGCAAGTACATCTGCATGTTCTTCAGTGTCTGTGAGGGCTATGCACTCATGCAACGAGAAGTTTGCAATCCAGCAATTTCGGTCTTGACGCTGGGTGCTTGATCTTTTGCATCATTGACATTTGAGCTTGATTTAAAAGTCAAAAACTTTCCAAGTGCAATAGACTTGTGGAACTGTTCTACAATTTCCAAGTGCAGTATGCTATTCCACCACTCTTCAGTGGGACTAATTGCCTTTACATACAACTTAGACTGTCTCCAACCTCAGCTGCCACTTGATTTTTTATGCTTATTTTTTTCAGCATATTATACTATAATGCCATACAGATAACATCTTAAACATACAGGATTGATGAACATAATTACTAAAATTATGGCCAAATTTAAAAGTGGATTTTTCTGATCAGTTTTTTTCTGCATATATTCTGTTGTATGCATCCTTGATAGCATTATTAATCTAGAGCCCTTTGACTTACCATCTTGATATACTTAAAGGAACATTTCAGTGTGTAAACGCATCTGTTTTGTAATACAGAGGTGCAATGGCTGGTCTGTCTTTAATGGTCCCTTGTATATAATTGTTAAACACTTGCCACATTAAATCTCAGGTCTCTAGCATATGTGGCAGAAATATCATTAGTAACACTGAATTAATATTTTACTTCACTATACTTGTACATGTGTACAGATGTGCCCCAAACAATCAGCATCTTCCAGTTTGACCTTTGTTTCTATCTATCATTGCAAAACCTAATCTGAAATGTGAAAAGCAATGATATTGTACATCCAGTCCAACAACTGGATAAAGTTGCCAATATTGAATACGTGGTCAGGGTTGGCTTGATTAAGGGTAACTAATGATTCACGAGTCTGCCACACATCCATTGTATCATGGTTCTTCAACAACACCATCAAGTGCCACTTGATTGGAGACAGGACAATTCCAAAATGAAATTTCTGCCCATGCATTTGGGACAGCATTTGTTTCATACAATGTACAACACCTAAATCAAAATTATCTGCACTCCGTTTACATTCGACATTGAGGATAAATAATTGTTCATATTTGTGGTAAATGACGACATCTGGCACAACAATGCCTGGTTTTTGTGAAGGAAGTGAGAGCTCTGAGGAATGGGGTGAACCGAGTTCTTCTTGCTGCTGCCATGGTGCTGTGTGTGTAGCGGTACGTACCACAGAATTCGTGATGGATGTTGGAAAAGGCTCATCTACAAGGAGGTCAGGTGCAGGAAGGATTTTAATGATGTAGTCACAGATATGATGCAGGAATTTTTTTATGTCGCCGTTCATGAAGTCGGACATAAAAGCATTAGCCAGCAAGTCCCACACCAACTCCAGCGGGTCTGAAACAAAACAAGTTAAATTTAATATTGAAGTAATATTTGCTGTCTTAAATATGTAGTAAAAGTTCATATTAATGGAATCAACCTTACCCAGACATTTTTGTAATGGTATTTGTAGTGGGAATATAGTCAAGATTCAGGCCCCTTAGAGAAACCTTGCCCTATTCCCAGGTAACCAACCTCCTTCATCCAAAATGACTTCTTCTGTGCATTTCCATGGGCTTCCTGCTGTATTTTTTTCAGGCCTCGTGTATTTTGCTTGTTCTAGAAGTTGGCGCAGCCTTGACCAGTCACATGATTTGGTGGTGTTAAATTTTCCCAATTGTCTCACCTTAGCAAGCATATCTGAACGATCGTCGATGGTATTCAGTATTTTGAAACTGGATTTTTTACCCACCAGATTGACAAAAGTAACATTATGGGGGAATTGTTGATCCCAACGCTGGTCAAATTCTGAATCACTTGATGGCATATCCAGCTCAACCACATAATTTTTGTATTCACGAGCCCACTCCTGAAAGTAATAATGAACTAGACAGCAAAGCTGGCAAATTTACAGACACCATACAGGAAACAAGGCAGCAAAAGTGAGAAATGTTCAGACATTACACAGAAAAAAGTGCACCAAATAATGTTTTGGCCAATTCTGATGTACTGTTACATAATGATTTGAAACAGCATAATCACTTTTACCCTCTTACACTATGTACTACACGTAGCAATAGCATGGACATCGAAAAACTAGCAAGTGATTCAGTTCCATGGGATATATAAGCCACTCAAACTGCTAATGTGTGAAAAAAATTTTTTTTAATAATAACAATAATAATTATTGTAAATGTAAACCAATCAAGCCGATTTTCAAAAGTAACCTGCCTCTTTACCAAACAAAACTACTTTTTTTTTTACTTTTTTTTTTTTTTTGAAAAACCTAGAGGAACAATTAAGTGTTTTTAGAAGTGAAATGGGTCAAAAAGTCCATTTCTGGTGACCAAACTGGGCTGAGAAATTTCACCATTTATGGAAAACCATATAAAGCATGTGTAATTATATATAAGTATAACCCTGCATTGAATAGGGATTGGTGAAAATCAAACATTTTAATAAACAGGTGTTTTCCATGGCTGATATTGATGCATAACATGCACGCTCGGCTGTCACCTTGGTTGGATAGTAAACGATTGTCGTAAAATCTGGATTTATCTTGTTTCAGAAGCTTACTATATTTTATTGTCTCTATGGAGGTGTATGGGGACTTTACGACATTCGGTTTGAAGGCTTTAACCACTTGTTATAGTTTATTTTTGCATTGTATTGGATTAATGTGGCAGTCTGAGGTTGTCCTAGGTGGTTTTCAAGTTTATGCACCGGGTTTTAATATCTTTTAGCGATTTTACGACAACCGTTTACTATCCAATCAAGGTGACAGCCGAGCGTGGTCAAAGCATTCAAACCGAATGTCGTAAGTCCCCATATACAAATAGAGTAAGCTTGTGGAACAAGATTCTAGGCCTTGGCCCCCTCCCCTGGCGAATCCTAGATCTACAAACCAAGATTCTGGATTTATGTTTCCGTTTCTTTCGTGGTGGCTCATTGGTCTGTGAACAAACTGCCATGGTGGGATACCTTACTCGTTGAACCTGTCCTTGAGTAAGTATAATATTGCAGTATCGGTGGCAAATTTACGCACATTCTTGTTTAGTTTCACGTGTGGAAATGTCTTGCTTACAGTGGAAGGACTGTAAACCCGGGAAAGAGGGGCCGAAAAGAAAGTCTACAGACAAGTACACAAGTTGAACAAGCTTTTGTTGTCCCTGTTTCAGTAAGAGAGGTTATACATATTTCTAATGCATTCACATAACTTTGAAAGCATTCTATCAATAAGCAGAGAGTGCATTTATGTAGTGGGGAATGTGTTGCTTGACAGCTGATTTTCTTAGCTCATTTGAAAATAAAGGAATGTTGATATATTAAGGTCACATACTTGTTGTTTGATTTGTGTTTTTTATTCAAAGTCTTGCTTTAAAAATGAATTGTACAAAGATACTAAAACAAAATGCTATTTTAGGAGATCCAGACGATTCAGAAAAAGGTCACTTTTTATTAGGCAGATCATTTTAAGTTGCTTGTTACTCAACAATTTTTTTTTAAATTTTGGTTGGAGGGCGAAATTTTTTTCCAAAAATAATGACTTCATGTTCACTATTAATATAATCCTGCTTTTTAAACTAACAGGTCATTTGTATACACATATCACCAGCTACAATTTGTCAGTTTTGTGCCAGTTTATGAATAAATCAAGTTAAATAACTTGTATGGAAAGATGAAATCTTCAGGAGTAGACAGGCACCTAAAAATAAAGCTTTTGGGACTTAAACAGCATTTGGGTCCATTTTCCAGAGCCAGTTTTGGCCATTTTGGTTGAACATTCTTGGTAATATGTTCTTGTTCTAAACCACATCAAATGGCACCTCTTGTCCTCCAAAACCCTTAAGCAGACCTGAAACCCCACACGAAGGGTGCTAGGGTGGGCTTTGCCTGTGTTGCAACACAAGCCTGTAAATCCCACAAAAAGACACCCCCTTCAAATAACTTGGAGCCACCTTATTGGACTACCCTTAAAATATTTCTGGATCCACCCCTGTACCTGTCCCAATCTCACTCCTCTTAATAGCTACTTTGTTTATAGGAAAAAATACTGTGAAATAAAAAAAAATATTTTGTAACAAATTGTACAAGGTAGTAAAAACACCTGCATAAGTAAAAGTCACAAATGATCTTGAAATTCCATAACAAGTTATGAAAACTTTAGTGGCATTAATGACTCAGCCATACTGATGTAAACTTTACACTGAATTTCTCAGAAATCCTTAACTGCAGCATAAGGAAATATCCTGTATAATCAGTGTGTGGTGGCTTTAAAATCCCATGGGCCTGTAAAGCCATATGCTATTAACATTTTCTGATTGTGTTAGCTGTTGTTCATAATGGAAATTGGTGGAGATGATGTTGTAAAACCATTTTGTAATATTGCATCAAGTTGATAATTTATAACCTATTACATGCATCTTTTCTTTGCTCTTATGTCTGTACATTTGACAGTTTTGCTACTTTGTTTTTAAGTTTCTGGCATCACCTTTATTTGGCACCAATTTCTAACATACCTTTTACCAGCTCTTCAAAGAAAAAACAGTTTCCTTGTTTTCACAGCCTGAGGAGGCTTTTTCCAAGAGCCAAAGTTAGATGAGGGGTGTAATTGAAGACTTTTGGTGCGACTCAGCCATGGGGTCTCAATGCCTCACAAATCCTCTACCACTTTTTGCTGAGATTTGAATCAAAAGTACATAAGCACTCACCATGTTTACATTAGAAAATAAACTTAACTATAACTGAACGATTGGGCATGCAGAAAGTTTATCGGGATGAGGTTGGCTCGTGGCAAAAACTAGCCTAAGTATTTGCATGCAGTCACAAATAGCGATGCTTTCCAGCAAGAAAGCCCAGGCTGTGGTTTCACAGAAAAACATAAGTCAGGTTATCTGGCTAAGAACTTAATTACCAAGGGTACATGTTCACATCTTACCGTATCAGGAGCAGTGTAACAGCACTCTCATGGAAATCTTAGTCAACTAAGCCAGGGAACTGACTTAATTTTTTTTTTTTTTTTGTGAAACTCGGGGGCAGATCACAGCATGAAGAGTATTGGTGCATCCAGATGTTTATTGGGATTATGATCTTTGAAACTTTTTTAGATGGCTAATTTTCTAATGCATTGCATAAAGCCACAGTCCCATATGCTATCTAGAAAAATATAGAAATCTTTATATGAAAAATTAAAAAGATACTTTCTATTTATTTCATTTTTGCTCAATCTTTTATACACTCAAACAAACACATAGATACATGCATTTACAATGATATCATGAAATATATGTACACTGTACAGCAAAAAAAAAAAAATAAAAAATAAATAAATAAATAAATAAAATAAAAATGGATGCCTAGTCTTTTTGTTCTTTTGGTTTAGGCTGGAAATCATGTTTTGGCCACACATTGCTTTGTATGCTAAGTGACAGTGAGAGAACAAGGCATGGAACAAATAACACCATTTAACTAACCATATATCTCAGTGCTGTATATTTCACAGCATGTTGGGATGAAGTGCACTATAGTTTATTAATAACTGATAGTGCACACAGGTCAATCTGTCCTAAGGCCCAAACTGCTGTTATTTCTCAAGACCACCGAATAATGAAGCAGATCGAGTGGAGTCCTAGTTGGAAAATGCCTTCTCTTTTACTGCACACCCATACAAGGAATATAGAACAATTTTATACAGATGTTCTACAACTATTCTGGTGGCACTGGGGGAAATTTAAATATTTTAAATAACCCTCCTTGGCTGAAAGTATGTGGGTTAATCCTCCTCCTCCTTCTCCTCTCTGATCACTGGGACTCCTAAAAAGGAATAAAACTCATTTTAAGAAAAAAATTGGCAGCACTCCCCCCTCCCCTCAATTTATCTGCCAAATATAGGCCTCTATAACTTATCTAAACACCTTATTTCACTATTTTCATATTAAATTTAACTTACCATCCAGTTTCTTGAGTTTTAATAACTTGGCTGATACTTGGTCTCTATAATTGCCAGCTGCTGTAGCTGTTTCTTCGAGGGGGTTGCCTGTTTCAAGAATAAGTTAAACATCAAGTTACTTGACAAATATTGGGAAATATCTGATTCATGTTGAAAAATGATAATTGAGAGCCACACAATGCTCATGTAACTGTTTTATGTTAAAAAATTAACTGTATCACTCTGAAAAAGTTATTGGAAAATTATTTTACTAGCCATAAAACAATACAAAACCTTAAACTCCATTTTGTTAAACATTTTCATTAAACATTTAACATGTTAAACTTACCAACAAAAACCAAATCAACCAGAAGTGGAAGATCATTCTGTAATAAAAATAAATATTGATTGTCAAATAAATTAAAGAAAATATACCTTAATTACTTTACACTATTTTAGTATATTTTATTTTATTATATTAGTATTGCTAATGAAGATCTGAACACAGATATATGCCTAAAACACCACTTTTTAAGTTCTACTATAATAAAGACAAACTTTTGCCTAAATGAAGATAATGATTTGGTATTTTTACAAAATGCATGAAAAATTACCAGCTTTTGAAATTCATCCCATGCTTTAACTGAATTATTAGACATGTACAAAATCTGGAAAAAAATACAGAAAATCATCAAAAATTATTGTTAAAACAACCTAAACAAAAATGCATTGTCAATATCTATTATACTTTCACATATAATTATTAAAAAAGTATGTCAATTCTGATCCACACTTACTTTTATTTATAAAAAACATATTATAATACATTATAATGATTTTCAAAATAATTTGACTGCATTCCAAATGTCTTTCAATCCTACCTTCAGTTTTTTCAAGACATTGATTCCCTTCAATTTTTCTATGAAGTTGTATGAGATCCATAGCTCTTCAAGTGTATCCCCAACTGCCTCCTAATTGTTCAAGAAATTATGGTTAATATTTCATTCCTACCTAACTGCTTCTCTATTAAGAGTACTTGTAAATATACAAAAAAGCACATCTTGAATTAATATTATGCTTTAATAGCATTAAGCAAATAGAAGTCTTTTTTTCCTCAACCATTTTGACAATGCAGAAATATTGTCATGTTATGACCTAATGCTGTTGTATCACAAATACATTGAGGCAAATTTTTCAAATCCGAGTAATAACGTAACGTAACAGTTCTGGGGTAAAAACGGTAATGCCACATTAACATTTGGCCACCACATAAGGTGTTGAATAAACCAAAAGAAAGGGGCATGGCTCTGAAAGTGTTTATTTTAATAGCCCTAATATATAAATTGGTGATCATTCAAATTAGTATTTCACATAAAAGAAATGGGAGAGGGGGAGGAGTTATTTTGCCAAATATTGGCCTTATAACATATCTAACTAATAAATAAAATGATACTTTACCAGACCAGTCAAACTCTTGATGTTGTTGCGACCCAATGATAAAATTTTCAAATTTTCTGCAAAAAAAAGGGAAATGTTCTGATATATAATTGTTAATTAAGCATCCAATTTTCAAATCTGCCTATAGATTTCAATCTTGTCTGTGACATACATTTTTGTATGTTTAAAAATGGCTCTGCATCTGAACTATTTCAATTTCCCAACATAAATCAGTAGCCACTCCATCCTACTTACTCAACCCATTTAGATTTGCTATCTTCTCAATGTTATTTGTTGATAATGACAATTTTCTGAAAAAGAAAAAAAATCCTTTACAACTTATTCTAATTTTTTCATTATTACATGGGTAAGAATTTACAACATAGTTAATTCAAATTAAATGGTGAAAAGTAAGATTTCAAAAGTTTCTGATTTGGATATTATTCTTAACATTAGGGTCACAAATAATGAACTTATGCACCTGCCAGTGGTAAGATAAGTAAGTAATTTCAAATGCTTTTATCTTAAGGGAAGAGCAGCAGACTTTTGAATCCTTCAAACATTTGTCATCTACCATCTACCAGCAAGTTACAAGATGTACCCAGATTATATGAGGCATCCCAGTTGAAAAAAAAAACTGTTGTAGCATGATCTTTATAAAATTAATTAAGTAAAAATTCCATGTGCTCCAGCAGTAAGTACAGACTGCAATCAAGGTCGTTTGTCAAGAACAGTCTACGTGTACAAAAGCAAATGTAAATTCACATGCATCTATTAAATCAACTTGTAAAGTAGTTTGTTATGTTATATCCTGCAAAATTTCCTCAACAAACCAACTATACTTACTCGCAACAGGCCAATGTGGAAAGAGATGCATCCATTTTCTCTATTGGTGGGATCTGTGCATAAAGATCGACATTAACAGCCTCTGCGGCTTTCTCCCCCTTTTTCTCTTCCTGAAAAAAAATTCTTTTTATGAACACTTCTCTTTAGTTCAATATCTGATGACCTCAAATGGAACCCTCAACTAAACCCAATGCAGCCATGCCTGAAGAACCCTGTAATGCCAGATGTATATATAGGCTCTAAACTTGTTAAACATGAATAAACATTTAAGAAAATTCCAGCTTTGCTATGCACACGTGATGTAAACAGACTTGTTTTGATTGATGCTGGGGTCAACATTGAATCTTTTTGTACACATAAAGATATTTTGTGTTCAAGCACTGCTCACTCTGATGCTTAGACATTGTGTCAATGCCAGTGCTTGGCCAAACTGAAATTAAGTACCATGAGAAAACGGCCTATCTGCATATTGACTCAGCACTACAAGTAGGGTTTTCAAGCATGCAGGACCTACTGAGGGTTAAGACTTGATTCTGTGAATTCCATACATTCGATTTACACACTAAGTTGGGAGGGGGGGGCAGTGAACTTTTGTGGTAGGGCCCAGACTTAATTTGCCAGCCAACAACTTAAAGGAATGTCTTTAGATGCATATGTACCATCTGAGATATTTGATCAGATTTCAACAGATATATTTCATATTTTAGTTGTGTTTTTTCATAATAAGAAATAGTGCACTAGGCTATAACTGTAATAGCGAAGGCTTAGAAAATCCAGTTCCACGTTATTCAATGGAATGAACTTACAAACACAGGGCTGTCTCGTCACGGCATACAGACTGCAGATTCTATGTCTACGTTGTTATATATATTTGAAATAGCTAATTTCAATACTTACAAATTTCTGAAGAGCTTCTTTTATCGTTGTTCCTTTCGACTGCAAAATAAAATAATAAAAATTACAAAACATTCATGATTGCTCTTAAAACAAATAGGTGAAGACAGTTTCAATATCTGACATATTTATCAAGTAAAATCACCCACCATCTTGGACTGGTTGCTATGAATGCTCGTAATCAAGTGATTCGGCTTTTGGCATTCGGAAATCTTCGGACATTTCCGTAAGTCGCAATATTAATGACGAATTAGTTTTAAATCGTCATTATTTTCGGTGTCATAGATTATACATATATAGATACATTATTTAGGATTCAATGCATGGTAGCATATAATGGTCATGTCATCAAGAGGTGACATTTTCCCAAACCAGGCGCGTATGTTTCTTCTCCCTTGGATACGGAATCAGCCGACATGACCCGATTTGGATTCCAGCCAAAGGCACAAGCTTCTCGGCACTGTAATGATTGTAGGAGCTACAAATGATACAAACTCCACATTATTTGGCCCTGCTCGTCATTCTACCTCAAATTGCGAATTGATACAGCTAACGTCCAGATTATGTCATCAACAAGTGCTTTTTGAAAAAGGACGTAGCATTTAAATGACGTTAATCTTTAAATGCAAGGATCTCATATATCATTAATTGAAACAAAACATTTTAAAAAATCCTTTTTTATTATTATACTCTAACTTAATTTTTTTAAACATGATTAATCTTTAATTGGTGTGACGTTCAGGTTATACGGCACTTCCGGCCTTCCTTGTTTAGTAAGTTTGAAGCAAGAAGATTTGCATATAAAAGAAAAATGAGGTTATTTTTCTATTTTGGATCATTTGAAATTTTTAAAATAAATTTTAGAAATAAATTTGTTCATTTGCCTTTCATTTGATTTGTTATTTTTCACATCAGGGTGAAATATTACTGCCTGGTGCCAGTTTTACATGCCCTGCTGCATTTTAGTGCTTATTTTGGCCGACTAGCGGCAGCACCTTACGGTCACTGGAAGGCTATGCCATTATGGACCCTGATTTTTTAATATTGTTTAGGCCTTGAGTAGAAGTATTTAAACCTGAAGTGTTGTGTTTGTTGAAGCATGGAAAGTATTTTTAATAGAATTAAACGTTACAATAGAAGTGAATGGGATTTTTAATAGTGGTTTGTAACCTTCAAACGATAAATGAAAAATGAGGTTATTTTTCAATTTTGGATCATTTGAAATTTTTGAAATAAATTTTAGAAATAAATTTGTTCATTTGCCTTTCATTTGATTTGTTATTTTTCATATCAGGGTGAAATATTACTGCCTGGGGCCAGTTTTACATGCCCTGCTGCATTTTAGTGCTTATTTTGGCCGACTAGCGGCAGCACCTTACGGGTCACTGGAAGGCTATGCCATTATGGACCCTGATTTTTTAATATTGTTTAGGCCTTGAGTAGAAGTATTTAAACCTGAAGTGTTGTGATTGTTGAAGCATGGAAAGTATTTTTAATAGAATTAAACGTTACAATAGAAGTGAATGGGATTTTTAATAGTGGTTTGTAACCTTCAAACGATTTATTTGTGCCCTGAGTGCCCTCTAGCGGAAAACTAATAAAATGGCGGCTACCATATTACCACGAGCTTGCACAAGGATTTCACGAATTTTCGGTACTGCATGGTTTGAGAAGGTATGTTTCGTCAAGTTATCTTATAGTTTCATGTGCCAGGATCAGAAAATGTGCACTTGCTTGTTTATGTTAATAATGATTTCAAAAGTAGTTATCATTAAATTATAATTGAATCTGTTATTTACCCCTCTCTAATTAAATCGGTCGTCTCTAATCTTAATTCATTTGAGCCATGTTTGGACATCTTAGACATCGTTGCCGTTCTCATCAAGAAGGACAGAAAAAGTAACTCTGGGATTTTCAAATTGAGAAGTTTGTGTGGGTTCTGCTCACAACTTTTTGGTAGCAATGCAGTGTGGAGTGGGGGAGGGGTAGCACTAGCACGAAAATTCATGCGTTAGCACTCCTATTGACGATTCTGATATGTACTGTCTGTGCTAACGCAGGAAAGCAAAGGCCTCAAAAAGTTGGAAATGAAAACCGGTTGCCGAACCAGCTGCAGTGCGGCAGCTCTCAAATTTATGTTTTAGATCTCATCTCCTCAACACGCACATTACTGTGAAGCCAACCAGTTTTCCCATCAACAGAGGTATCACTTTCCTTAAATTCATCTGTCTATCAACCAGTTTGACTGTCATAAAACCATACACCCGTTATAAACAGACAAAAACCAGGTAGGGGGTAATTAACTATCGTTTAGCAACTTTAGCAGGCGTGCCTGACATCTAAGTCACTTAAGCTGGAAGCAATTTATCGAGAAACCCCGTGGAGATGGACCGATCCTGTTAGATCGATCTAGGGATGGGAACCTGTCTATATCTTGTAATAGGGCTGAGGTAAGATCCATTGGCATTCTAGTGACACACTCTGGGTGTTTATCAATGAAGTTTCCCTTGATTAAACTTGCTACTTGATGTTAGATCTTTTTATTTTCATAACATCATTTGATATTTATATTCAATTTATTATTTTTTTTAATTGCAGAGCATCTTGCAGATGTGTGCTGTAAGGATCAACCAAGTTGAACACACTCTTAAGATAAAAAGGTAGGCTATGTGATTTAAATGTTTGAATAAACAAAAATAACACACTGCTGCTGAAACAAATAAAAGCATATTAACATTTTCAATTTTTGACTTATTTCAGTCTTCTTCAGTCTTAAAATTCTGACCAAAAGCAGTGTCAAATGTGACTTCTCAACTGTTTTTCCCACAAAATTCTGTCGGTATGTGTGAGTTGCTTGCCCAGCTGCCATCAGATTTATCATCAATGGAAATTACATCAATAATCCTATTCTAAAGCAGCCACAATTATAAATAAATGCTGGTGGTAGCAGTCTGACACATCGTCAATTTTGGCTAAAGTTTCCTGTCATGTTTGTATAACAATAGTTTCTATACATTGTTTTATATCAGAATTACCATTTAAATTCTGAAGTGTTAAAGTCTGAAGTGCACATTGCAAAATGCATTGTTTTTAGGAGGTGTTAAATGTTGCAGTATAAAGATGAAAAACAATTCATTCAGTTTTCTGATTGGAAAGAATATTGAATTGTTGAAATAATCATGTATGATTCCAAAGAAATTAACAAAACTCAACATGTGATTTATTTATGCAAAAAAAAAAAAAAAAAAAAAAAAAAAAAAAAAAAAAAAAAAAAAAAAATTCCCCATCAAAACCGTCATCTTTCTTTTAGGCAGAGATTCCCAATGGTGCACCAAAGCATTTGTAGCTGTAGACATTATAGTACAGATACAACAGAGTCAAGAGATCCACCTGGAGCAGAGCCTACATCAGAAAATAATGGCTCACAAGAGAACTCTGAGAGACATGATGGTATTTCTGATACAACCGAACCTGAACTCTCAGAAACACAACAAACAAACTTTCAAGATGCAGCAGCACGTGATCAGATGGAGAATTTAGAAACCCGAGAGTTAAAAACTGAAGCAGTTTCAGATGAAGTTAGCCATTCTTTAGGAGAAACTGTATGTGAAGAAGTGAAACAAGAGGTGGACTTTGCTGCTGATGAAGAAACTTTATCTATAGGTGAAGAAGACAGAGGAGAATCTTTAAAGGTAGTCAGTTTTGGCCCATGCTGTAAGCCTAACTAATATATATTGTTATGTGTATCCTGATATTGTACTGGTCATCTTAAAGTGCCACACAGTTTCTGCAAGTCGAAGTTCTCTGAAATCACAAAGTTTAATTTTTGATTGTCGAAAAATCACACATCAGTTTATGCTTCTTTGAATATATTGTTAGAAATGAACACTTTTTTTTTTCAAAGCACAATGAACCAGATGTGTTGTACAGAAAAGTTGCTGTGGAAATCAAAGGCCATGATAAAAGGGTACTTAAAACTTATGCTGCTGTCATGAAGACTGTTGCAGAAAGACTGGATATTCAAATTCGAATGTAAGACATTAAATTATCCATTTAAAGCTTTATCCTCTTTGCTCCTGATAAATTTGAACCTACGTTACGAAGAGAAACAAATTTAAGATGCATGTGCATCTGATGTTTGAAACATCTATCTATACAAAATTCTGAAATTGTTTCTGTAGTATTTAATGCTGTTTATTTTTCCTTTTGTTTCCCTCAAGATGCGATGTGTGTAATTATTTTATGTTCTCTTTACAGGTGGAATCCCCCAAGAGTGATTGAGAGGATGACTCTGCTGAAATCTGCATTTGTACATAAAAAACACCGAAGACAGTATGAAATGAGGACACATTTCCATGTTGTAGAGGTAAGATGAAAGAGGAGCATTGAGCAGAGATTTATCAGGGTCATGCAGAAATTTGAAGTAGAAAAGCTGCACAACTCTTAGATTTACAAAGGCCTCACTTGCATGTGGATTAAAATAGAGTTCTATATGGGTTTTTCTAGTCCTATTAGAAATGGTAGGGCTCATATCCAATGACACTGTCAATCTATGTACATTGATCCAGCTTCATGGGGACTTGCTGAATGCAATCACTTTAACAGATTAACACACCTTTTCTGTTTCCATCGTACTTGTATAATCACTACTTTTCCTGTATTCTTCTCAACACCTATCTGCGACATTAACCACTGGACAGCTCCCAGTGCCAGTAACAATAAGACCGAAATACGGTCAGTAACTAGCCCAACCAGTAACATGCTATAACATGTACTCCAGTTCGCTTTATAAATGTTCAGACTCAATGTTGAAGTCATTTTCTGTATAACATTTTGAAAATTCCCCTACTTTGGTTTATATTTGTAATAGATAGCCTGTTTAATCTCAATGTTTTAATTTAATTTTTTTTTCTCTCTCTCTTTTATTTTTTATTTTTTATTTTGAAAACTTGCCTTGGGCCAGTGAATTTTGGTTCTGGCCAGTAAATTCTCAGACGCTCAGTCTGGTGGCCTGGATGGCCAGTTAGTTGAAAAGTATTTGGAACACCAGGAGGCTGCTTGTCATTCAGTTCATCTGATAGCATTCAGCGAGAGTCCCCTGGGAGTTGAACCGATTTATGTAGACTGATAATGTCATTGGGAATGAATCCATATGATATTGTTACCACAACAAAATTGCTCATCTATGAACTGAGGACAAGGCCAATAACACTATGAACAATCCTCATATTCATCACATAAAGAAAAGCATGATCAGTATTTTTCAAAGCCAAGAGTATTTATTTTCTTTTCAGTGAATATTTCTAAATATTACAGTTTGGGTGGTTCATCTAGATAATAAAGACAGAAACATACTAAGAATGTATTGAACGTTCTTAAACGGAATAGTTATCTATGTATATATGTCCAGACACACCCAAGTGTATGTATGTATTATAATCACGTTGTCACTGTCTGAGGCATTTGTTCACCTGATAACTGCTAAACTGTATTTCTGTTTTACTTAAAATTTACCAAGTAATTTCAATAATTCTTTATCGATGTCTAGTTCTCACTGCAACTGCATCCATGTTATTCTCCTTACAGCTCCAGCGTGTAACTGGAAGCACTACTGATACGTATTTAGAGTACATCCAGAGGAATATACCAGAAGGAATTGCCATGAGGGTCACCAAGGTACAAAATGCACACTCCGTAAAAAAAACCGTCTCTGGGCTCATTCCCATTGAATCTGTTGTTTTACGTAGACTGATCCAACTGTACAGGAAGTGTCGCTGGATGCAATTAGATTTACACACTTACTCATGCCCAACTTCCTTTATAATGACCAGCTTCTCTGTATTATACTTAATGTCAAAGGGAGGCCTGTTAGTCTGATTGCATTCAGCAAGCCTCCGCCGAGTTGAATCTGGGTAAAATAATTGTTTCTTTGGAAATGAGGCCCATGATTTTTTATGCACCTTGCAAGTGATAGCAAGTATAACTTTCCATATTCAGTCTGGCTCCTTTAAATGTTGAGAAGTTTACAAAACTGGTGGAAATAATGAAATGTATTATTCTTCTTCTTCAAAACTGGTGGAAATAATGAAATGCATTCTTCTCCAATGTTGTATATGATTGTATATTATTTCTCAAATATGCTGTAAGCCTGGAAACAGTCACCTAGAGTAGTTCTTAACGCAATTATAGAAAGACTCAGTTTCAAGTAGTGTTTAGATGATATTATTAACAAAACCCTTCCCCCCTCCAAAAAAACAATCAAAATTAAGAGGGGTCCCATAAAACAGGTCCTCTTTTTCTCTTTTAGCATCAGCTGGTAAAGCTACCAGAAGAAATTTCACAGACCATGGAAAGTTGATTCTTAAGGACATGTTCTGAGGCCGATTACCCAAGTTTCTGCTTAAAAATGGACCTAGGTCTGTTAGAAAAATCTTCAAAAAATAAAGGATAAAACTGTTCTTTTTGCATTTGGTACAGGGAAAATGCATTATACAATAGCACAGTTACATGCATAATGACCACAAGGATAGCTGCCAAAATAATTAGACAATTGGAATTCCCTTGTTTTATCAAGGCTTCAATCCTGATGATCTAATTTCTTTTCGGTTGATTCAATTTATCTTTCTATCATTTTTGGAAGACACAAGTGAAGTATAGACATTTTCAATAAAGAAATTTATTAAAGAAATTGATACAAAATGAAATCAGTCTTCCTTGGATCTTCTTGGTCACAAGATTTTTCCTCATCAAAATTGTTTATGGTGCATGTTATCCAGCAAAAGAAAAATCCTTCACTTTCAGGAAATGATCAGTTCAGTTGTACTACAATGCTGGATCTATGCCATCAATGTGGATTGAGACTTGAAGCAAAAAGAAGCAGGACCTCTGAACTTCTTACCTCCCTCATGTCACAATATATATTCACAGATGCAATGATTTGTCCTTTATATACATAAAATAAAAACAAAGTTTGCAACTGTTAGGGAAAAATATAAAGTAAAAGGACTAAGTAGCAGTTCATAATACTTTTTTTTTTTACACCATCCTTGATGTTACTTAATTTCTGGCACGGAATCGGTGCTCCCTACTTTGTTGCAATTTTTTTCCTTTTAACATGCTTGCTGAAGTTCTTTAGCAAGACGTTTCAACAGGAACGATTGTTGAGCTCGCAGGTATTCCAGTGTACGTATTTCTCCAGTTTATAACTGAAATGGGAATGTAAAAGTTGTCCTCAATCAAATTCTTCGTATTATTATCTCTGAAATAACAGATATAACAGTCATACATCCTCACAGACAATTCGACATAAAAGAATTAATTCATTTGGATTTTAACTCTTTTTACTTGACAGAGTAAATAATGTACTTAATCTAGTTCATGATAATAAATGAGAAACCCCTCTTGCTGGCCATGTATATATATATAATGGCCGCACAAACTTACCAAAAACCACACTGTTATTCCCTGTCGCTGGCTTTACTATCTAAGATTTATGTCTTCAAACCAGATGGGCTCTGCCCCACCCCCAGGGGCCCCTCGTCTCATTTCATTCTCTCCATATGAAACTCTGGGGTTTTGTGCAGAAGCTAAAAGAGACCTTANTTTGGACATCTTAGACATCGTTGCCGTTATCATCAAGAAGGACAGAAAAAGTACCTCTGGGATTTTCAAATTGAGAAGTTTGTGTGGGTTCTGCCCACAACTTTTTGGTAGCAATGCAGTGTGGAGTGGGGGAGGGGTAGCACTAGCACGAAAATTCGTGCGTTAGCACTCCTATTGACGATTCTGATATGTACTGTCTGTGCTAACGCAGGAAAGCAAAGGCCTCAAAAAGTTGGAAATGAAAACCGGTTGCCGAACCAGCCGCAGCGCGGCAGCTCTCAAATTTATATTTTAGATCTCATCTCCTCAACACGCACATTACTGTGAAGCCAACCAGTTTTCCCATCAACAGAGGTATCACTTTCCTTAAATTCATCTGTCTATCAACCAGTTTGACCGTCATAAAACCATACACCCAGCAACCGATTTTCATTTCCAACTTTTTGAGACCTTTGCTGTCATGCGTTAGCACAGACAGTACATATCAGAATCGTCAATAAGAGTGGTAACGCACGAATTTTCGTGCTAGGGTAGCACATATATGAACAGGGTACAAAGCACAGCTTTATTGTAATTGTGTGAAAAATAGGCCTTACCTGGTCCTTGTATTGTGAATATCAGAACATCGTCAGGAAGGCATAAAGTACAGGAAGACATTCTACGCAGGTTAACTGACTGTCCAGTCATTACAAACTAAATTATCAAATCCAAAATTAAGTTCAAGTTAAGGGATAATTTCAGCAATGATTCATGAGTAGCAGAAAATTACTTTTTTGCCTTGAGAAAAAATCCTGTTTAGATAACCTAACCTGCAACCAATTTGTAAAAGAATGCAGGTCTATTCACATAACATCTAGAATCTATGAAACCATTCTCAGACCCTATCATGCTAACTTTGGATTGAACTATCTCCAAGGAGATTCTTGCTTAATTGCAATTAACTTAAGCAGCTTGGATGTCTGTTATGCCCAGTGAAGCTGATAGGGGGTAATTAACTATCGTTTAGCAACTTTAGCAGGCATGCCAGACATGTAAGTCACTTAAGCTGGAAGCAATTTAGCGAGAAACCCCGTGGAGATGGACCTATCCTGTTAGATCGATCTAGGGATGGGAACCCGTCTATATCTTGTAAAGGGGCTGAGGTAAGATCTGTTGGCATTCTAGTGAAGCACTCTGGGTGTTTATCAATGAAGTTTCCCTTGATTAAACTTGCTACTTGATGTTAGATCTTTTTATTTTCATAACATCATTTGATATTTATATACAATTTTTTTTTTAAATTGCAGAGCATCTTGCAGATGTGTGCTGTAAGGATCAACCAAGTTGAACACACTCTTAAGATAAAAAGGTAGGTTATGTGATTTAAATGTTTGAATAAACAAAAATAACACACTGCTGCTGAAACAAATAAAAGCATATTAACATTTTCAATTTTTGACTTATTTCAGTCTTCTTCAGTCTCAAAATTCTGACCAAAAGCGATGTCAAATGTCACTTCTCAACTGTTTTTCCCACAAAATTCTGTCAGTGTGTGTGAGCTGCTTGCCCAGCTGCTATCAGATTTATCATCAATGGAAATTACATCAGTAATCCTATTCTAATGCAGCCACAATTATAAATAAATGCTGGTGGTAGCAGTCTGACACATAGTCAATTTTGGCAAAAGTTTCCTGTCATGCTTATATAACAATAGTTTCTATACATTGTTTTATATCAGAATTACCATTTAAATTCTGAAGTGTTAAAGTCTGAAGTGCACATTGCAAAATGCATTGTTTTTAGGAGGTGGTAAATGTTGCAGTATAAAGATGAAAAACAATTTATCCAGTTCTCTGATTGGAAAGAATATTGAATTGTGGAAATAATCATGTATGATTCCAAAGAAATTAACAAAACTCAACATGTGATTTATTTATGAAAAAAAAAATTTCGCCATCAAAAACATCATCTTTCTTTTAGGCAGAGATTCCCAATGGTGCACCAAAGCATTTGTAGCTGTAGACATTATAGTACAGACACAACAGAGTCCAGAGATCCCCCTGGAGCAGAGCCTACATCAGAAAATAATGGCTTACAAGAGAACTCTGAGAGACATGATGGTATTTCTGATACAACCGAACCTGAACTCTCAGAAACACAACAAACAAACTTTCAAGATGCAGCAGCACGTGATCAGATGGAGAATTTAGAAACCCGAGAGTTAAAAACTGAAGCAGTTTCAGATGAAGTTAGCCAGTCTTTAGGAGAGACTGTCTGTGAAGAAATGAAACAAGAGATGGACTTTGCTGCTGGTGCAGAAACTTTATCTATAGGTGAAGAAGACCGAGGAGAATCTTTAAAGGTAGTCAGTTTTGGCCCATGCTGTAAGCCTGACTAATATATATTGTTATATGTATCCTGATATTGTACTGGTCATCTTAAAGTGCCACACAGTTTCTGCATGTCGAAGTTCTCTGAAATCACAAAGTTTAATTTTTGATTGTCGAAAAATCATACATCAGTTTATGCTTCTTTGAACATATTGTTAGAAATGAACACTTTTTTTTTTCAAAGCACAATGAACCAGATGTGTTGTACAGAAAAGTTGCTGTGGAAATCAAAGGCCATGATAAAAGGGTACTTAAAACTTATGCTGCTGTCATGAAGACTGTTGCAGAAAGACTGGATATTCAAATTCGAATGTAAGACATTAAATTATCCATTTAAAGCTTTATCCTCTTTGCTCCTGATAAATTTGAACCTACGTTACGAAGAGAAACAAATTTAAGATGCATGTGCATCTGATGTTTGAAACATTTATCTATACAAAATTCTGAAATTGTTTCTGTAGTATTTAATGCTGTTTATTTTTCCTTTTGTTTCCCTCAAGATGCGATGTGTGTAATTATTTTATGTTCTCTTTACAGGTGGAATCCCCCAAGAGTGATTGAGAGGATGACTCTGCTGAAATCTGCATTTGTACATAAAAAACACCGAAGACAGTATGAAATGAGGACACATTTCCATGTTGTAGAGGTAAGATGAAAGAGGAGCATTGAGCAGAGATTTATCAGGGTCATGCAGAAATTTGAAGTAGAAAAGCTGCACAACTCTTAGATTTACAAAGGCCTCACTTGCATGTGGATTAAAATAGAAATCTATGTGTTTTTCTAGTCCTATAAGAAATGGTAGGTCTCATTCCCAATGACACTGCCAGTCTATGTACATTGATCCAGCTTCATGGGGACTTGATGAATACAATCAATTTAACAGATTAACACGCCTTTTCTGTTTCCATTGTACTTGTATAATCACTACTTTTCCTGTATTCTTCTCAACACCTATCTGCGACATTAATCACTGGACAGCTCCCAGTGCCAGTAACAATGGGACCGAAATATGGTCAGTAACTAGCCCAACCAGTAACATGCTATAACATGTACTCCAATTCGCTTTATAAATGTTCAGACTAAATGTTGAAGTCATTTTCTGTATAACATTTTGAAAATCCCATACTATGGTTCATATTTGTAATGGATAGCCTGTTTTATCTCAATGTTTTAATTTTTTTTCTCTCTCTCTTTTATTTTTGATTTTATTTATTTATTTATTTTGAAAACTTGACCAGTGAATTTTGGTTCTGGCCAAACATGATCAGTATTTCTCAAAGCCAAGAGCACTTATTTTTCTTTTCAGTGAATATTTCTAAATATTATAGTTTTGGCGGTTCATCTAGATAATAAGGACAGAAACATAGTAAGAATGTATTGAAAGTCTTAAACTGAATGGTTATATATATATATATATATATATATATATATATATATATATCCAGACACAACCAAGTGTGTCTGTGTATTATAATCACGTTGTCCTTGTCTGATACATTTGTTCACCCGATAACTGCTGAACTGTATTTTTATTTTACTTTAAATTTACCAAGTAATTTCGATTATTAAATCAGCATATGGAAATTTATTCTCCTTCCAGCTCCAGCGTGTAACTGGAAGCACTACTGATACGTATTTAGAGTACATCCAGAGGAATATACCAGAAGGAATTGCCATGAGGGTCACCAAGGTAAAAAAAAAAAAAAAAAAAAACACTCCGTAAAAAAATTGTCTCTAGGCTGATTCCCATTAAAACTATTGTTTTACTTAGACCGATCCAACTCCACGGGAACTCTCGTTGGATGCAGTCAGATTTTACACACCTACTCTTGTCCAACATACTTGGCAAATGACCAGTTTTTCTGTATTATACTTAACCTCAAAGGGAGGCCTTACTTAGTCTGATTGCATTCAGCAAGTCTCCGCTGAGTTGAATGGATCTGTGTAGAATGATTGCTTCATTGGAGATGAGGCCTATGACTCTTTAATTTTTTATGCTAAATGCAAGATAACAAGTTTAACTTCGAACATTCAGTCTGGCTCTCTTAAATGTCAAGAAGTTTATAAAACCAGTGGAAATAATGAAGTATATTCTTCTCCAATGCTGTGTATGATTTTACTTTATATCTAAAATATACTGTTAGCCAGGAAATGGTAGCCTAAAGTAGTTCTTAAAGAACGTCTCAGTTTCATTGAATCAAGTAGTGTTTAGATGATATTAATAACATCCCCCCCCCCCCCTCCAAAAAATAATGAAAATTAAGAAAAGTCTCATAAAACATGTATTCTTTTTCTCTTATAGCATCAGGTGGCAAAGCTACCAGAAGAAATTTCACAGACCATGGAAAGTTGATTCTTAAGGACATGTTCCGAAGCCTATTACCCAAGTTCTTACTAAAAAATGGACGTAGGTCTATGAGAAAGATCTTCTAAAAATAAAGGATAAATTTCTTTTTTTTTGCATTTGGTACAGTGAAAATGCATTATACAATAGCACAGTTACATGCATAATGACCCTCGTTTTATCAAGGTTTCAATCCTAATGATCTAATTTCTTTTCGGTTGATTCAATTTATCTTTCTATCATTTTTGGAAGACACAAGTGAAGTGTAGACATTTTCAATAAAGAAATTTATTAAAGAAATTGATACAAAATGAAATGAAGTCTTCCTTGGATCTTCTTGGTCACAAGATTTTTCCTCATCAAAATTGTTTATGGTGCATGTTACCCAGCAAAAGAAAATCCTTCACTTTCAGGAAATGATCAGTTCAGTTGTACTACTATGCCATCAATGTGGATTGAGACTTGAAGCAAAAAGAAGCAGGACCTCTGAACTTCTTACCTCCCTCATGTCGCAATTTATATTCACAGATGCAGTGATTTGTCCTTTATATACATAAAATAAAAACAAAGTTTGCAACTGTTAGGGAAAATATAAAGTAAAAGGACTAAGTAGCAGTTCATAATACTTTTTTTTTACACCATCCTTGATGTTACTTAATTTCTGGCACGGAATCGGTGCTCCCTACTTTGTTGCAATTTTTTTCCTTTTAACATGCTTGCTGAAGTTCTTTAGCAAGACGTTTCAACAGGAACGATTGTTGAGCTCGCAGGTATTCCAGTGTACGTATTTCTCCAGTTTATAACTGAAATAGGAAGGTAAAAGTTGTCCTCAATCAAATTCTTTGTATAATGACCTCTGAAATAACAGATATAACAGCCATACATTCTCACAGACGATTCTACATAATAAAATTTATTCATTTGTATTAAAACTCTTTTTAACTTGACAGAGTAAATAATGTACTTGATCTAGTTCATGATAATAAATGAGAAATCCCTCTTGCTGGCCATGTATATATATAATGGCCGCACAAACTTACCAAAAACCACACTGTTATTCCCTGTCGCTGGCTTTACTATCTAAGATTTATGTCTTCAAACCAGATGGGCTCTGCCCCACCCCCAGGGGCCCCTCGTCTCATTTCATTCTCTCCATATGAAACTCTGGGGTTTTGTGCAGAAGCTAAAAGAGACCTGAGGCCTGCTACCACAGCTCCTGAGGCTCCAGCCAACGGGTCTGGTTCCTGATACTGCTCTTGAAAAGGGTCGGGCTGCCTTTCTACTGGTCTGCAATCAAATTGTAAAGGCATATTTAAAGTTACATATGAAACAAGCGTAGATTCCCTGTAAAGCATATTAATCAATACTAGTTCTTATATGACTCTAATAGTATCCAAATATGAAAGGATAAATCAAATAAACCACATAATCAGTTTTGAAATTAAAGTTATGCTATTTGAAAGTATATGATGGGATTTGGTTGGGTTTAGAGGATTTGGCTTCAGACATTACTTTAACCATATACTTTGTTGCCAAATTTAAATTTTGATCTCAGTTAATTTGCAGTGTCTTCTGATTTTATTTTTATTTTTTACATAAAAGGTAGTGACAGAATTTTATTTCTCAAAATAATTCAAGTTTTGTGATTTGTAATTGCCATGAAACCAAATTACATAAAAAGTAACCAGCACTATCAATGTATGTTTCACAGGGCATTTTGTACTAACGGTTTCCCCAGTGCCTGTAAGATGCTAAACTTTGCCATTTGGCAGAATTGTTTTCACATGAGAAAAAATTAAAAGGACAATCTTATTTTGGAACAATCTTCTACTGCTGCACAATGTAACCTTACCTCAATCTCTCAATGCCAGCTCTCACTGGAGGCCTGAAACCAGTAGAAAAATATTTTTAAAATACATACAAAGCTTTCTTTTGTTTGAAGTGAAACAAATAACTACACAGAAAAGAAATAATTTTTTGATATTGCTTTGTTGTCGGGTTCAAAAACTTTTCAAAGACAAAGATGGTGGAATACAAGCCTTTTTGATGGCTGATAGAAATTTCAATTACTTTTTAAAGCTACAGACTGAATTCAAGATGCAGGGCTTAATGCAATCATTTTTCTAGGTAACACAACCAACAGGATTCTACTGGCATTTTAAGGGCGTTGAAGAGGGCTCTATTAAACAAATGATATCTATTGAAGTGAAGGCCACCATAAGTGAAATATGGAACACTGATTTACCAATTACAGAATTTACTTTTAAAACCCCCGTAAGGAAAAAAATGTAGATGATATTGTTTTAGATATCAACTCACCTCCTTTCGTATTCATAGTCAGGCTCTGTTAAATATGGAGGTGGAGGTCTACAAAATCAATATACAAAATAAAAAGTATTTTTCTCCAATGTTATATTTCTATGTATTTGTTATTTTAGATGTTAGACTATCAAAATATTTATCAAATGTAATTCATACATAACAAACATCTAAAGTCTTTATGTTTTAAGTTATCAAATTTGTAAGAATGAAAATGTCAGACAAACCAGTCCATAACTAGATTTATTATCAAGTGATCAGATCTTTCACTTTATATGCACATTTCACATGATTAAATGATTTTAATTTTCTGAAACACGGGGCATTTGCTCTTCAAAACCTTCCAATTCCATCTCATTACCAGCCTCATGCAAAATGAAAATGATGCATACGATTCAGTTTTCTATACAAAATTATGATTTCTGATGAATTACCTCACAAGGAGTTAAATGTGTCATGTTGATTTTTTTTTCTTGGCTCCAGTGGCCATATAAAAAATGAAAATTCAATAACACTCATGCACAGCTTTTTAATATGAAAGAAAGAATAAAATTCTGATCTAGCAAAAAAGATAATAATTGAATTTACTGAAGTAAATATTGTGAAATTCTGTGATTAATACTTTTTTAATATCTTTAAATATTCCACATAAAATCCCATCATACAATCATAAATTGGACAACAAGATTAAATGAGTGTTCAACAGTTATACTGACAGTTTGGACAATACGTGCTTAACAACAGCAGCACAAGGACAAGTAACAAGTCCGATTTCTCTTTCCAGTCATTCAATTACTGTGAATTACATGATAAAATTGTGAAACTGCTTAATCAGGAATAAGAAGAACAGATTTTAAAAAAGGTTCATTAGGTGTAAAGTTTTCGCAGATTGTTAAAGCTCATCCCCACATTTTCATGTAACTAATTTGATTTGATATACAAAGGTTCAGGTCTTTTCTTCATGTGCTGTTGATCTTCTTGTACATCAACTGTATTTCACTACAGTTCTGAAGCAAGTTTGGTCTTAGTGACTTAAATAGAGTACTTTCAGTGAGAGAAAATCATTTGAGACTGCATTTTATTAAGAATACAAAAAAATTTTAAGAAGTTTTATTTTTAGAAGTTTTATATTTCCAGTAATGCCTGAGGAAGATTGTAGAACATGTATCTTTTTCTAGATTCAAAGAGGATTCTTACATTTTATACACTACAGTGTAGAACTAATGTGGTAATTGATACTGAGGCATATGAAAAAGAAAGTAGAAAAATCGTTTTTAAAATTTTAGCAGAGTGCACCCAAAGGTAAGTACTTCATATTTACTTTTGTTTTAAATCAATATCACAGCTAAAAAATTAATTAGCTGCAATGATTTACAATTGATGAAAATCAGTAAAGTCACATTTTAGCAGAATAGCAATTTAAAATTTACAAAACAAAAACATAGATGTTGTATTTCATAGCAAACAAATTTAATTTGACTATATCTATTAAAAGAACACAACATACAAATTCCTTACTAATTTTCTAAAACTGCTACCATCTTGATATAATACATGTCAACTACATAATCCTTTCCTTTACATTAAAAACAAAAATGTTTAGTTTGTACAGGGAATTTCTTGGCAACCAACACTGTTGGCATTACTTAAGTTGGATTGTAATGAGTTTGTTTAAAGTTGACAAACAACACTTGCTGGAGTTGCGAGTCCTCACTGCAGATTCAATCCATGCACAACCGCCACTCTAAAACACATTTGTTGCCTCCAACAAGAAAAGAAAATCTCTTCAGTTTCATTTCCTTTTTTCCCCCTTTTATATAAGATTCTCTGTACAAATTCCTTTAGGACCTTTACATGTTATTGTCTACTTTGAGAAATCTTGTAACAAAAGGCTCCTTGTCGCGCACACACCACGGAAGTCCATCAACTTAGTTCTGGCCGCGCTCTTCTAAAATGATGGTGGCTGTTGTCTGAGAGTGTGAGAGAGAAATACAAAATCACTTTGTGATCTTAAAAGGAACAATGTGCTTAAACTTCATATCTTTTGCATTAGTTTTTACACATTCAGATCATATTATTTACGAATCTGACAACTAAAATGCTCCATAAATTGATTTGGGTAATGGAACATCCTGGAGTCATCACAAAATCTACCCCGAAATATTTGCTCTTTTGGATGGCACCACCAAGCACGACATGTTCCGCAGTTTTCATATACTGTAGTAGTATATCGCGAGAAAATCTGTCCAGAAAATCATCCATGTTGACCGATCACCAGCATGTCCGCGAAAAATAAAACTTCCGAAAGTTTTTCCATTGTATAACACATACTCGGCACGATTGATCAGATTCGCGAAACGGCAAGTGCACACCCACTGGAGGATACAAGATCGGGTTTGGAGATTTCAAAAGTTGTCCTATCAAAATACATCAGACTTAGGCAGTGCTTAAAGCATTAAAACAAGTTTTAAACAAGAGAAAACCAGGAACCGTTGTCTCTTGTTGAAACATTGTATTAATGACAAGTGCACCAATCTCCTTACCTTCTGTCATAATAAGCATCATAATAGGGATCAGCCCTGAAAGAACAGAAAAAATAGATTTAGACATTTACATTAGATATATACCATGTGAAATATTCCTGTTGATCTTAAGAATTATTATATTAGAAATGCATGAAATGGGATGGGTTTTATTGACCAGAAAGTCCCAAAGAAAAAAAATTGATGCAATCTAAATGTTGCATGTTTTTCTCCAATGCATGCACCTGTCAGAATGAATGATTGAACTTAAACAACCAACACACAAAAATCTCTTTTAAATTATGACTTTATTGCCCTTACAACCAGCCATTAGTTTGGCTTGATTAGACAAAGATTTTTTTATGGAGACAGAAAAAAAGTGGTGATACCTTCTCCCATAGTACTCAGGTGGGGGCCTGGCATATGGGTCTCTGTAGTAGTCTCTGGGAGGGGGAGGCAGAGGTCGTCTCCTTTCATATGGGTCATATGGTCTGTATCTGTCTCCATGTGGAGGGGGGTAATCTCTATAGTAAGGGTCTGGGTATGGGTCCCTGGGGTATGGTTCTCTGCCATATGGTTCCCTAGCAGGGGGTCCCCCAAACCGCCTATCTCCTCCACCCCGCCCTCCTCCACGCCGACCTTGCGACCTGATAGATAATAAGATAATTTCCTTACAGCACAACTAAACAGCCTATATTAACAGAAAAAAAATTAAGAGAGGCATATTAATGCCAGGAGATAATTACAAAACAAAAAGTTTTAACTCTTCTGCATTGGAAATTATAGCTAAATTTATACAGATATGCATTTCGCATAGGAAATAAGTTAACTACCCTGTAGGTGACATTATGCTCTGAAATGTTGTAATTACAAAAAATTTAACCAATACATTCTTTTTATTCAAGCATTTTTCAAATTACTCACCCTCCTCTAGGACAGTCTTTTGACCTAGAAAAACAGAAAAATACATTTATTTCACCAATATTTTTATAATCAATAACAACCTGCACCCAAAATAATTTTGAACTGTACAACAATTACTTTTAATCTCAAATTTCCTTTGCCAAAAGTGGCCATTCTTTTAAGCCCGCACAAACAGTACTGCACGCAGACAATCGATATTATAATATTTCTACAAGCAACTTCTTTATGTATCAAATGAATAGTATGGATGCTTTAAAAAAGGTGAAAGAACATGCAAAAGAACCTATGTCAATTAGAATGAGAGTGTGTCATATATTAATGAAGGGTTTGTAGGAAAAAAGAAAAGAATGCAAAGTCCAATATTTAATTTAATAAATGTTTACATTGCAAGCAACTGTGAATGCTGAAGAAAGTTCTCATACGCAACTTACAACTTTACATCATATGACCACTCTCATTATGAAAAATAATAATTTTAGTAAAGAAATGTCAACAAATAACAATAGCTCAACATAAGAGGATTATAACAGACTGATCAGGGGTTTTTTATGTCATCAATGTCAAAAATTCCGATCACATCTTCCAAACAGCATTCACGGACGAAGCGCCAATCACTTAAGATTTCGAATATTAATAGACTCTCGATTCGTCCAGGTCATCAATCAAATTTCTTGACGTCAACTTTTCTAGAAAGAAATTCTTAACATTGGTGCATTCACTTAATGATGTACACAGACTTTTCTCAATGATAAAATTTATCCATTATTCAGAAAAATGGCATGTACATCACGTCCATGAAACAAATGCTATAAGAAATAAACAACGCAGTGCTTTTACGCGACCAAAGTCACGCGATTATGTAAATGGCTGCACGAGGAGTTCGGACTCCTTCAACTTACCAATGACCGTCTCGTCCGCATCTATAGCACTCGCCCTTCCCTCCCATTCCAGGTTTCTGACGAACTTTACTGTGAGAAAGCTGAAATGCCAATCAGATCACGACATACGTTGATGCTACCAGCGAAGACTGCAATGATTCAGAGTCATTAATTCACGCATTAGCCTACGATGGCCACTGTTAAATGTGGACAAAACTTAGATGTCAATTAAACCACGATATGTAAGCTATAAGCGAAATGCTAGAGGCAAAATTTCAAGAGTTAACATTTATGCCCACGAAGATCATGACTCGTGCCGTTTAGATTTTTTCACACGCACGCACATCGGAAAAACACAATTTGAATTTTTCTATATATTTTCACAACAGGAATCAAACAGAGACTCAATAACACGATTAGTCCACAATGTTGCACGAGATGACATGAAGGTTTTTACAACTAATACTGTACAGGAATGAATTCCAGGCCCAAACCCATGTGCCAAAAACCTTATGCAGGTTCCTTTCTCAAACAGAAAATGTTGTACCTCTACTTTGATGTTGACTCCTTGGAAAGGGGTGTTATTCAAATTTTCCACAGCAGTTTTTGCTTCTTCTCCATCAGCAAAGTGCTACAAAAAGTTAAAAAATCGCAATAGGAAATATCATTAGGAATAGAAGTTCTACATACAAGAGCCATTTCAAAAGAAGCCCAATAAAAACAATAATTCTTCTAAAGAATAATGTAACTGTTTTGAAATACTTGATAACTGATTTTGATCCTTCTTTTGCCTCTAAGCTAAAGAACTGAGAGAAAGAACAGCACGCTTCAGCTCTTCAATTTTACAATCTTTTGAAAATTCTTTTCTTACCACAAACCCATAGTTCCTGATGATATCACACTCTGTGACAGTTCCAAACTTTTCAAACATGGCTTGCAGTTCTCCCCGCTTACATGTGTCTGGTAGGTTTCCCACAAATATCTTCGTAGACACAGTCATCTTTGGTTCTGAAATTGAAATAGCCAAAGTGAAGAGTCAGTCATGAACACAATCGGTTTATACAGTCTATATATAGGGTTACTAAGTCTACATACCATTATGTAGCAGGCCAATCCTTTTCCCTTGATACAAGTCCTTTGACTGGCAAACATCAATGCAGAGATTGAGAACAAATTAATCAGAAACCCTACACAAGGGCACACATGCAATAAACCCATTTATGGCCAAATCACCTGCATTAAAACCTAAAAATTGACGGAATGATACATTTTAGTAGCAAAATAGTATTTCTGATATTACCCCAAAAAGAATTCTATTTTAAGCCAAAAGACAAAGACTCAAGCTGCCATACTGATAAGACATCACTTGTTTTACCTTAGGATGTATCGATTTTAAAACATCCTCCAAGAGGAGCACTACGCCAAAAGGCATAGGTAAACAAATGTTTGATTCAATGTAAGACGGATCTTACTCTTGAACCTATGTCACGTACACATGCTCTAACATAACAATAGCAACATTGCCGCTGTCTAGAGTGCTGGTGTTGAAACGGCGTTCGTTTACATTATACTCCCCTTTAATCATTTTTCTCACTAAATATTTCCAGAAGTTTTAGTAAAATAATGCTACCAATATGATTACTTACAAACAAACAAACTAGACTTGTTAATCGGATACTATCAAGAAATCGTGCCACCTGAACAATGATCACTATTCACCCTGACCTCAAATGACAATAGCCGATACCAAATATTAGCAAAACAGAAGATGGTTTGATTATCAGATTCTGACTGCTGTTACTACTAATACTATAAATCACAAAGTATTACCTTGATCATATGCTCCTCTCTTTTTATCTTAGTAATCGATTCGCGTACACCAAAGGCACCGGTCGGTTTTGCGCACCTAGCTAAAATGGCGGACCACGCGGCTTTGAAGGTCAAGTACGACTTACTATCAACAAATGAATGATAAACAAAATCATCTTTAACTTTTTTCCATTATATCTGATGATATATTTTTACATTTATTACGATTTATTTTAATCTTAATTTGTAAAAATAATGCAAGGTTGACTGGCTTTACTGACACACAAATAAAAATATATTTATCAAGTAAGACCTTTCAATCTACCAGTCACGTGAATCATGAGTCATCCGGGGCCTTCGTGAAGCACTGTATAACAAAGGGTGGCGCGGTTTCTCTTTCCAGGGATTTGGGGATCTAGGATAGGATTCTTTATTGATACACCTTTACAAANTGCATTAAAACCTAAAAATTGACGGAATGATACATTTTAATAGCAAAATAGTATTTCTGATATAACCCCAAAAAGAATTCTATTTTAAGCCAAAAGACAAAGACTCAAGCTGCCATACGACATCACCTGTTTTACCTTAGGATGTATTGATTTTAAAACATCCTCCAAGAGGAGCACTACGCCAAAAGGCATAGGTAAACAAATGTTTGATTGAATGTAAGACGGAACTTACTCTTGAACCTATGTCACGTACACATGCTCTAACATAACAATAGCAACATTGCCACTGCCTAGAGTGCTGGTGTTGAATCGGCGTTCGTTTACATTATACTCCCCTTTAATAATTTTTCTCACTAAATATTTCCAGAAGTTTTAGTAAAATAATGCTACCAATATGATTACTTACAAACAAACAAACTAGACTTGTTAATCGGATACTATCAAGAAATCGTGCCACCCGAACAATGATCACTATTCACCCTGACCTCAAATGACAATAGCCGATACCAAATATTAGCAAAACAGAAGATGGTTTGATTATCAGATTCTGACTGCTGTTACTACTAATGCTATAAATCACAAAGTATTACCTTGATCATATGCTCCTCTCTTTTTATCTTAGTAATCGATTCGCGTACACCAAAGGCACCGGTCGGTTTTGCGCACCTAGCTAAAATGGCGGACCACGCGGCTTTGAAGGTCAAGTACGACTTACTATCAACAAATGAATGATAAACAAAATCATCTTTAACTTTTTTCCATTATATCTGATGATATATTTTTACATTTATTACGATTTATTTTAATCTTAATTTGTAAAAATAATGCAAGGTTGACTGGCTTTACTGACACACAAATAAAAATATATTTATCAAGTAAGACCTTTCAATCTACCAGTCACGTGAATCATGAGTCATCCGGGGCCTTCGTGAAGCACTGTATAACAAAGGGTGGCGCGGTTTCTCTTTCCAGGGATTTGGGGATAGGTAAACAAACGGTGACACAGAGCATTTCCCAGTCGGTTATACAGACGATTTCACTTTTCAGCAGGAAAATTTTTGCAATATTTTTAGTCATGTACCAATTGGAATAGTTATATTGTCTTTCCAACTGACTTTCACCCTCGATAAGGCGTGCAGCCAAGACAACAGTAAAAATTAACCATGGATGCTTCGAATTATCATTAGCCTGCTGCTAAACGGATATGTGGTTGTCTAAGTTAAAATTTGCCAAACTTTTTCCCATTATACTTTTATCCAAGAGAACGTGTAAACTGAGAATTAATAAATTAAAGTGATATCACAACTCATCTCTTTGGCGGGAAACGTGCTGTAAAACGGATTTTCCTTGGGGTAAACGATCATGTTCCCATTCTAACCAATGGTTTATGAATCCGTTCTGACATTAAGAGTTAGTCGACTTCTTTTTTCTTTTTTAAAGTGTGTTTGTTTTTATTCTTTATTACAGAGGGTAGACATCTATGAAGGCCCACGCGGTCCGATAGCAGGTAGGCCTACATATTTCAGAATAATTGCGATAACCGCTGTTTTGGTGGTAAAATGGAATTTATTATATTTTTTATTATGTTGTTTACATTGTATTTCTTGTGGAATTTTGAATCTTATATGAAGAGTTATTATCCCTAGGCCTTCATCTACAAGTAGGCCTAGGCTACGCAAATAGGCCTAAGACGCTTCTAAACCGTAACAAATGGCACCGTTAGCCCTCTAAAACACCAAAATTTGTCGTGGCCCTGCGGTGGGCTTCGAACCCCACGCCAAGGAGGGCGAGGCCGGGTTGGCTTCGTTTCCAAGGCCTTTTATTCCTAAAAAAAAAACGGACCCCCCCCCCCATCAAATATTTCTGAATCCGCCCCAGTAGGCCTTTATGTACTGTAGACTTACACTCTTCAGAGCACTAACGTGATTCTGCTAGACACGGTAGAAACTGTTAGGTATATAAGCTGATGGTAGGGGCCTAGATATTGCAGATTCCTGGAGAAATAGGGAAAGGGCAGAATGGGCAATTAAAGCGTGTATTTCCTGACAATATAGGATCCACCACGGGCCCCGAACCTCACGCCAAGAGGAAGATGGGGGGGGGGGGGGGGGGGGGAGGAAAGAGGGATACCTCTGAATCTAAAAACNGGGGGGGGGGGCAAAGGTTGGCTTTCATCTGCAGCATGTCATTCCTAACCCCCCCTTCTAATAATCCTGGATCCGCCCCTTGTCTACGATATAATTCCCTGGTCTAATTAAACATGGGTACTGGTACATGCACATATGTCAATAAAAAGTGATCGAATTAGTAGGCCTACTGAAACGTGAATATTTCATTAAACACCGCGAATGACGCCATTTAGGCTCTATACGTTTTGATGTCCAAACCTATATATATTTACCCTGAGTGTCAGTGCACAGTAAAAGCTAGCTTGTCAAATATTAAAATATACTTTGTGGTGGGGTCGCTTTTACTAGTATTGGTATTGCTGATATGGGTTATATGAAATCAAGATCGAGCCGGCAATACTGGAATCTAGAACCTAGAGTATATAGGCCCTATATTGCACGTGTCTCGAAAGTGTTATGATCAGATGTGAATGAATAGAAGTTTTTACTTAAGTTTTAAGTCTAAGAATTACATTGTAAAACACATTCAGGCCTACCCAACTACCACACTCGGCACCGAATGATTCTGAATATTCAACGGTAGATCGGACCACACTGCCCGTTTTCAAGGTGTGCGTCAGTACGCGCTTCCAAATATCACACGCGACACTGCTCTTGCCTAGTACGCGATGTGATAGCGATGATTTTGAGCGGGGTTGGAAAGTAGTGTTCCGGGGTATGATACTGTATTTAATGCGCACTGACGCACACCTTGAAAACGGGTAGTGTGATCTGAACTACCGGTGAATTCTGGATCATTCAGTGCCGAGTCTGGTAGTTGGGTAGGCCTGACATTTCACTTATGGTGTCAGGCTATTCGAAAATAAATAAAAAAAAAAAAGACGCAGAGGAAGTATGGTGTTATTGAGGAAAACGAAGATGGTCGAATCACAGAAAGGAATCCCGAGATGGGCCAGACAAAAATTGATAAACTGACCATGGCTAACCAGAGGAGACTCTGTAGACAGGGTTGGAAGTCGATTTTTTCCCTAACATACGGTGTACGGGCATAATAGCTAAATTTATTGTCGGTCGTTTTTATTTAGGGAGTGGAAATGCCAAATCGACAGTTTGAACGTTTTAAAAATATGTTTTTACTGTATTCATTTGTTAAATTTTCACACTAAACAAACCAAAACTTTATGCATTTTTTCGAAAATAGTTGCGAAAAAAATCTGATTTCCTCAAAATTAGGCGTGGTCGTGCTCTGAACCATTTTATCAATTTTGTCTAGCCTTCTCTAAAATTCAGCTTTGTTTTGATACAGTACGTTCCACCATATCTTAAAATAAAGAATCGATCGAATAGGTTGACATAAAGTCACTAACAACATGTACATGTACATAGTACAACATTAACAGCAGTAGGCCTATTAAGCTTTTTCTACCATGGCGTATTTAAATCACGTTTTGTTTATGGAGCGTAGGTTGCTTTATTCTTTGAGAAACTTATCTGTTTCTCATATGAGAGTATGGAATAACTATAGATCTAAAAAAATAATTGCAATGCACAAAATCAAATTTTATTCAAATACAATACATTCAGGCTGGTATAAATGTAACTTTTGGAGTCGAATTAATTTAGGAATTTTCAAGGTCATGGTTAGGTACAAAATGTAAATAAAAGCTGTGATTAAATATATTCATCTGTGTCAAAGAAATATTGAAAATGATGATTATGCGTTATTTTTCATCGATGAAATTACTTTAAGATACAGTAGGCGAAAAATCGGCGTTAAATACTCCATTTAAATGGATTAAGATTGTATTCCCTATAGAATGTCCATTGTCATTCTTCACTCCTTCCATTTACCCCCCAAAATATATCTTAGCCCGTTTCTAATGGTCAACATCTGTATTTTGGAAGGTATGAACAGGTTTCCTTGCCACTCCTAACTCATTCGAGCTTTCGCACGTGATCATGTAATTAATCAATCACAAATCTAAACAAACAGAATTTGCCTACCTTTTACTTTAAGAGAAACGTCTATAGGGTCTGCAAACCGGAATTTACCAAACCATGCAATACACAATATACACAAAATAAATATTTAAAAAATGTTAACAAAAGGTTGGAGATTGTCTACAGGTAAGCAAATCTTTTGTTTTGTCTATAAACGACGGCGGTTTTTTGTTATTTGCATGGAAATACTGCGATTGGAATCGCAATTACATTACATTGAGCATAATGCGCGTTTCAAATTAACACCGCTTTCTTAGTTTACAATGTCACAAATGTTATTAAAAATCTGTGAGAGAAGAATATTGAACAAGAGTGGTCTGAAACGAAAATATCCTGTTCAGGGAAGAAATCTGCTTTTGTTTTCCATATTTCTTTGGAAATTCGCCGGAGGAATGCTCGCATCTTATAATATACGTGCTTGCATCCGCTGTTGACTTCGAGTAGTCTGCCTTGGGTACAAATATATACAGTATCTTGACATCGTTTCTCGCAGAGTTAATACAAAGCATCTATATCCACACTCGTTTGTCGCCGAACATATGTAGGGAGTCCAGGGGCCTCAGCTGGGCGATCTGAAATACGTAGAATACGTTCATTTCTAGTTGGACCCTTATAATGAATATCTATTTTCGGTTGATATCCACACAAACAAAACACCTTCTGCCTGACCTCCACTCTGATAAATTATCTGTCGCTGTCCAGAAATAGCAAAAACGAGAACAAAATGTATGCAAAAGATGTATTTTTCTTACTGATTTGGTTGAAGCTAATTTACCTTTTAAGAAAAAGAAAACGGCTACAGGTGCATACTAGGATGAAAACAAATATTCAATCAACAGATAATTCACATCTGCAATCGCTTCTGCCACTTAATCCCATATTCTAAATTGTACTATTAGAGAGTCAGTAAACTAGCGTAGGCTACCTACTGAGGGAAAAAAGTAAAATGCATTTAGGAGGATCCAGTGCATTTTGGTCTGGGTCGTGGCATTCCTCCAGAAATACACCAAATCCCGTATACCTCTTGATCTAAGTGCCATCTAGGAGGCTATATTACTACATTCAAAAATATTGGCAGTAAAAAACGAATCACAATTAATCGTAGCCAGCAATTTCAAAAGGGGTGTTCTTTTTTTTCTGAAAAAGTGTACCTTTTACAATGAATCCTTCGTAAACTTGGATCAAATTTTACCCAGAGGGGACCTTTTCTTGGCAGAAAGGGGGGTTCTTTTGAGCCTACCATCTCCCCCCCACCCCCCTCCCCGGCTACGGGCCTGTATTAATTTACAGTGACTGCGCCTTGCAAAACTGGTATATAAACAAATGTATTCAAATAAACCGCAAATCAGTTTTTGTTTTTCCATCAATGATCTTGCTGCCAACTTCACAGTTATTTAGGAGTGTTGGTAGATTAATATCTATTCTACCGTAAACAGTCTTTTTAGACACATTTGGGTGCACGGTATGAGACATTCTTAGGCAAACCTACCATTGGCCATCTTTTTCTTTTCAAACGTGCATCCCTCGAGGGACTTAGGATTATCAAGCAGTACATTCTAGGTGATTTTAGTAGTCAGTCTAGTTATAATAATGAAAGTTAAAATACGAGTATTTCTAAAAAGGTTATGCACTGGTGGGAGGTGAGAATAAAAGAAGGGACGCCATGCAGGATTTAAGGGAGCGTGCGTAAAGGTGATCTAGTTGTCACAACTGCGCATGAAAAATTGCCAGTTGCAGTTAGATATTTCTTTGGAAATTCGCACATGTCGATGATATGAAAATCACCGCATGCATATGATATTAGAAGACAAGCACTTGATCAAAAGGAACATACTTTGTATTTTAACCAGGTTTGTCATGTATGTTATCCTTTCCTTGTCAAGATTTTATAATGAAGTCTCAAACAGAACCTGACTTTAGGCTGTTTCCTCGTAACGCGTAGGTGCGTTCACTTTTTTACTAGATCTAAATAAATTATTGGCCCTTGATTGACAACTTTCTTGTCATTTATAAGGATCAGAACCAACTTTTTAGAAAATTAACCCAGACTGGCATTAGAAAAAAAGACATGCACCACTCAGCGCCTACTTCAACATCTAGGTGCTGCTACTTTACCGCATAGGCCTACTGCAAAATTTTCCTGCTCCCATGCACTGCTATTGAACGTCACCATACATGCGCCGGTCATTTCTCTGACCTGCAATTTGCACCATGGTCATTCCCCACAATATGCTCCATATCCAGCCGACTATGATGATAGTGGTCGCCAGCTGGAGCAAGGCAGCCAGGAGGTTGTAGAAGAAGGCGAAAATCGGCTTGGAGGACCGGGTCTGACAGCCGCAGAAGACGGTGAAGGAAGAGATGAGAGTGCCTGGGAAAGAAACAAAACAGATGTCAGGGTGGATGGAATAGTTTGCTACAGTGATCAATTAAAAGACCATTTGATATTTAGTGCTGCTTTTTGAAAGATTCGCTCCTCCTCAAATCAATCAATAAATGCCGTTATTCCTGCACATGCTTTACAAAAATGTTTCTTGGAGAACGAGTTTTACTCAAAAGAAAACTAATAATGCTTGGAAACATCCTAATTTTTTTTCATTTAAAGAATCTCGTTATCATACTTGACTTACAGCTAGGGTAAATAGTTTTTTTAGTTGCAAGCCAACTTTGATAATAGAAATAATACCCACCACTTTCTCAAAAGCCGGGGGATTTTGTTTGTATTGTTTTTGTACTGACCCAAAAATCAACCTCAAATAGAATTCTAACAGAATACTGCTACACGGATGGATATTTATGGTTTAACCAGCATTTTACTTATTATGATAATCCGGCTTTATGATAGCTTCTTGCTACCCACTACATGACCACAGATTGATCTTTCAATAGATATTCACGGATATGTCTCTGGTTAAATTGGCGGTCATTCTTTGTAGCCTACTCTGTTGCGTCAGAGAAAATGTCCACATAATAAAAACTGCGGCTCTGGTAGGTAATGCCGGAGTTTAGGATATCGCAATGAAAGGAGTTTGCTAACTGCTTTGACTGCCTCATACCCCCACACCTTTTGGATCCACTTATGTTCTTATTCAGGATATTTATCATCTGATATAAATAACCTTTCTTTCATAATAACCAAGTAATAACCAGGTATTTTGCACGTTTATGTTAGTAAAAAGACACGTACGATCTCCTTTCACATTGCTTGTCCGTATCATAAAAAGGCGGGGAAGATTCCTATTAAAACAAAATGGAGAACAGTTGAAACTAGGTCTGTTTTCCTGTATCATGTGTTAGTATGTTCTTCCATGGATCATAGGGAGACTGGTAAAGGGTGGGATACATGTGAATACCTGCATTCGACCTCGACAACATTCTACATCTTTTTTATTTATGGTTTCACTTGCTTTTCGTATTGTATTTATGCTTACATAGATTTGTTCGACGTATGCAGCCACTCTAGTAAATCACAATGAATTATACATGGCACATGTGAGACGGAACTGCATTTATGAATACCACGTTTTAGCATCGAATGCTGTGCTTCAGCACTCCTTATATTAAGAGTCCTATATGCCAGTGCGTATACATATAGTTTTGTTTACAGTGAGGATATGCATTGCACACATGTTGCATATACCGATATGCTAAATCTTACGTTCACTTGAATTCCTTTTGCACAACATATAAATTTACATGTTCCTGTACCTTTACGTAGAATATGAGTCTAACTCTAAGCAATGTTTTTTCAAGACTCACTTTATTGAAAAGAGGAACACGAGAATGGCAACATTTCAAACCTAGAACAAATACCTTACCTGTATTTTTTTTTTAAACCGAATACTTTCAGATACAAGAATGCACGTTTCTTAGAGATATTTCAACCCGTGGTATTTCCGCCTTCGTACATCAAACGAACGTCAAAACATACTTTTTTGTAGGCCCACATGTATGTAGTGAAATGGATTCATATCATCTCTGACTCAACGCTTCGGTTAATTTCTTTTGTTTTAATATTCATGTTTTGGTAGATAGTTCATGGAATATTTTATGCTGTGTACGGTTTGTGCATACTGTATGGCAGAAGACAGAAAGTTTGCTTGAAAACAAATAACGTAAAGTTAAATAACGGGAGATTCGGGGGGGGGGGTCAGAGCGGACACGCGCCCCTCCCTTAACATTTGAGGTATCCAACCCCCCCCCCCCACACACACACACACACTCCCACACACACACACACTCAAAAAGAAAGAAAGAAACGAAAGAAAGAAAGAAAAACGTATAACGAGCGAAACGGTACAGAAACCAAGCGATACCTCATCCAGACGCCCTACATAACACAGTGCAACTGTCCTCGTCTACAGTTTTTATGTTTATTGATCGAAGCTAGTCTAGTTTTTTATGTGTGTGCCCCGGCTCATCTCCCCCCCCCCCCCTCTCCCTCTTCCCTTCAAAAATATCCTGAATCCACAAACGTTAAGGTAAACCGACAGATGATACCAGTACCAAAAATATGTGATTTATGTTGCGATTTGGTCCCAGCATGTTATATTTTCAGGTGCTTAGAAGCAGCCGTGGATGATTGCTACAGTAAACCTGAGCGTGAAAGTAGTGGCCATTTCACTCAGTAGTAATATCCGATGAATATGATGTGGGAATGGAAAAGCAATTGCCTTGAGTGAATTCTGCATGATTATGGGCAAAGTTTAAGATAATTTTTAATGTTTACCCAACGTGATTTTATCGCCAGAAAATTGAGGCTGTACCTAAACATGTGCAAGATAAGTCACAGAAAGAAAAAGCCATTTATCGACAGCTGCACCTATAATACTTAATGAAATGCACACAACTTAATGGCCTGGAAAACAGCAAATATTTATCAACGAAAGGTGATGCTGATTAGATTTAGAGTATACTTAACCTGATTAAGAGAACAATTTGTGAGAGAGAAAAATTCATGCATTTGTTGATACGTGAGCAGGAATTGAGGTTCTACTCGTCGACCGTTGGCAGAAATGCCATAAGGTGGTAGCCTAAATTATGGGAAAGGTAAATGCTTAATGTTACCCGCGAGGCAAGGTGAAACCATTATTGCAGACTGAAATTTACGAATCGTTATTTTGTATAGAAAAGCTCTGCACGAACGTCATCAGTTCAAGTTTTAAAAATATGTCGTTATATATATATACAAGCTAAATATATCGCCCTTGTTGTTGTTGATGTTCCTGATGTCGTTTAATTTTGCAATTTGGGTATGCATTTCATAAGGTCAAAAACTCTGCCTAATTGAATTTGGCGTCAGCTGGCTATGTGCAGAACCGCGTATTGCATCTACATGTATGCATCTGAAATGAAATGAAGTGTACGATGCCATGTTCATGACCACGCTGTACAACAGTGTGCTAAATACATTAATGAAAATGAATATATATATATATATATATATATATATATATATATATATATATATAACCAAAATGAAAAATAACCATTCTCTCGGAAAAATAAAGAAATTATTTATCTGAGGCTGGAACCCATTCTGTCCAAGAAATGACGAGGAAGTTTCTCCGTTTGTTTGCGAAGGGTTGCAGTGTAAATCGGGAACAGACAAGTTATGTGTCAACGTGTGGAAACTCCTCACCATGAGAGAAGCACAAAATTCTTTCTCGGAGGCCAAATATCATAGACACTACTTGTCTATGCAGTATGGCTACTTGGTCCACTGATATCGTATTTTGCATAGGCCTACCGTTTAATTACACAAGTGACCGCAAGTTATCTATCCCCCCTCTAAACACACACACACACACACACACACACACACACACACACACTAAAGTTACGCCCCTGACAGCGGTTATATATTTCTTGGAAGGGCCATGTAAGTCGTTACGTAGACATCAAAATATGCTTCCTTTGCAAAAGTTAAAAGAAAAAAAAGCAAGTCAGCTTTTCTTAAAAGTGTTAGTAAATGTGGTATATATAGAGTTACTTACCAATTCCAGGTGCCACGACGTTTAGTATACACAGAATTATAGCTAATGGAAGAGGCATAGAAGGAATGGCACTTCTAAAAGGTCCTTGTTTTTCCTCAACTCGAAGAACTTCCAGTCTGCGCGCGTCACGTACTGGATTTGGCTGGGTTGCCTGTGCAGGAATCGACCCCCTGGAGGGCACTTGCTTTGTTTCATCACTTTTGGGGGTTTCTATGTTCACCTTTTCCTCATCTTTTTTGACGGTTTCGGGTTCTGGTTTTGGTGAATTGTTCAACTCTGCGTTTTCATCGTCTGTTTCCGCTACTTGCACATCCAACTGGGCGACATCGGCCATGTTTGCTCTTTAAAAATGACACACTACTAAAAGCAACTACAAGTTTTTTTGTGTGTGTTTTCACTCTTCCTGGAAAATCAAAACACTCTGTTCAATTTTCGAATGGGCTGCAGCTCCAACAACTTGAATTATTGAATAAGTTGTCTATTAAAACGAATTTGGCCAATCCGAAAGATATTCCGTATTTTGTGTTTTTAATTGAAGCAAGCCTCCGTTGTGTCGAGGTTCCAAGTCTCATTTCATATCTTTTCTCCGTTGCTTTCTCCTCTCTGAACACTGCAGTGTGAGCTTTCCCCTGGTCGTCAAGAGAGGTTCGTTAATTACCACACGATCTCTTGATCACACAACCATATCCTCACAATTCTCCTTTCTTGTTGTAAAAACAGTGCTCTTTTCTCAAGATTTTAAACTTTTGAAAGAGTCAACTTTCCTATGACTGGCGGGTTATCAGCGATAGAGCTGCTAATCTAGCCAGGTGAGCCCAGGTAAAGCGCCGTGTGTTTCGCGTCCGCTTAACGCTTCCTTTCTCGCTGAAATCTCCCGAAATGCTGGGGAGTATAAATATGTTTGACGGCGCAAAGCCCTAATAAATCAGACTCTAGGAAATCCCAGCAGGTACGGCGGTGAGCTGAAAGATGAAAAAACACTCGATCTCTTTGAACATAAATACTGCAACTCTGACTACATTCAAAGAATCAGTTACATTCAATTAGCTTGGACAGTATGCACTATTGACAGAACGGCGTTGTCTCTCTGTCGTTGTTTATGCTGAGCTAGTAGACGCTAGCTTATAGTTCAAGGAATTTTGCCGAGTGCCTCGCACTAAACGATTTGCCAGGTGAGGTTTTTAAATAGATACGCTGCGGTTGCTCTAAATACCCCTAATACAGTAACGGTGTGAGTGAGGCTCAATACACCGTGCGAAGAACGCAAATATTTGCCGAAATCCTCTTTAACGAGCTATCATCGAAAAAAAGTTTCCCAGGGGTTTGAGTAACAAGAGTTACACTTTACGGATACAATTTATTTGACATTTGAAATATTCACTGAAGATATGTAACACTGAAAATTGTATTATTTAACTTCATTTACTCCAATTTCACCCTAGTCCCCTTCTCATCCTGTGTAGCCTGAACATCTCAAGCACCTGTGTGTGTGTTGAGCGTAATATTTAACTGCGGCAGACAGCTCATCCACATTAATCGAAGCCAAGATTTGGTGATTGCCTCGTGCAATACGAGAAGACTTGATCCAGGTGTAAAACGTTTCGTTGGTTGATATGCATGCGATTCTGGTTAAGTAAATGTTTTCCGATTGGGTCATACTATTGCAAATTTTATTTTTTTAAAGCTATTAATCATAAACAGTTATTCCTAGGTTAACGTTTAAATACATGTATGATTTTGTTTTCTTCCCTTCATATATTACATTCCATAGAATAATTTAGCTCATCCAAGTCTATAATAAATATATATTTGAAGGAGGGGGGGGGGGGACAGATACCTTTTAATCTGAACCGAAAACCGCGTTATTCGTGAACATCCAAACATCATCAATCCGTAAAACCTAGGGCTTGTTTTGTGGGTCCTGGATGAAATGTAAGGCTTAAGCCTTGGCATTTTGCCAACTACTCCGCAAACAGGGCCACGTATACTTGTCACTTGTGAAATGGCGTTAATGCTAAGTCAATTTGATTCCATAATGGTTTTTTTTTCAAACAAGAGCTGAAAAAACATTACTGCCTTCCATAATTATTTTAGCTGTTTGGAGAAAGTATTATTGTAACTTTGTGCGTGAAACAGCTTATAAAATTCTTTGTTGGACATTTTAATTCAATTTTCATTTTAGCTCTCGTTATTGCAATTAAAAAAAAAACCGTCCGATAAACATGTATGGAGTGGAGAAGTGCGGCTGCTGTATTTTCAAATTGCGATAGGTGAGAAGAATGAACACAATAAAGAGCCAGTGGGATCGTCCAAGTACTGGGCAAAAATGATGCCGTTCCATCTGATCTGTTTGTGACTTTTCATGAAATTTTTGTTTTTGTTAAAATTTAATTGAATAAGTTAATGAAAGACGCCAATCATGACTACTTAAGTATGTTCACTATTTGACAAACATTTCCCTTTTTTCTGTACATTTATGACGGTATTCGACCAGATTAAAAACAAAATGCTGAATACGTGGTTTCCAGTTCCACCGACCCTTTCGGTCCTTTCACTTGAAATCCCAACTCCCATATTGGCTTCTGCTGCGTACAATGCACGCACTGCATGCTCAAAAGAGAGTATAGTACACGTTTTACTTTCAAAATTTATAAATTTTATGCACTCTTTCAGGGTTGAGTATTTGATCAAATGTAAAGAAAAGCAGATAAAACATAATAATACCCCCCCCCCAAATAAATAAATAAAAATAAAAAGAACAACTGTGCACTTGGAGTAATGCCTCTAAAATGTTTTTGAATCTTTTCGTTTGCTGCACAATAAACATGATTATTATTAGTCTCACATTATTGCAGCTAATATAAATTGAAATAAATATATGTCAGATACGCATAAAATGAATTCTTATTTGAGTGAAATTTAAAAGTGTTATCCACCCACATTTTTCGAGTATATCGGCCTTCAGCTTTGGAGTATACATGTACCTTAAATACCGATAATTTTCATCCTCTCAGTAATGCATTGTTTTTTCACAGTGCTTCACACGATTTACTGTCTGTCTATATACAGGACACAGTGACGTAAGTAGACAAATAGTTACCACTACGTCATCGTGGCATTTCCATGGATAACAATCCCCTCTAGTCTTTCCGGACTGATCAAATAGTTTGAAATTTGTTCCGCGCTCTGCCCACGAAGAAGTCTTTGGTGACGAACGCTGTTTGGGTTAAAATTAGGAATAGTTCTAGTGTTTGTTTTGTCGACTGGCTGCACGATGATGGGCGCTTCTTGCAGTACTATTATGGGTGCTGTTTGAGAGCGTGGCACACCATCCGATCTGCTTCTATCTGCTGCGGGGACTGTTAGAGATGGCTGCGCAGTGGCGTCTCTTGCTGGAGATGTGACAGAGGGGGACAATGTTGCCTCGGGTATATTTCGTGTTTCTCCGTTTTGGAGTTCTTTTTTCTCTCCCGAATCTTTGCCCGTTTCGTCGTCAGTCGACGCATAGTAATATTCATCTAAAAAGAACAGTTTTAACTATAATTTGATTTATAATTAGTTACATGACTTTTTTAACATCACTACGTCATAAAAGAATCAAAAATAATAGGAACAGAGAGGTGTAAATAACAAAGCAGGAAAAGACTTGTGAAGATTCCTTTGTCTATAGCTTCTTATATTTATCTGGTCTTACCAGCTAATGTTTCATCTGCTTGCAGAATTTTCAGAAGTCTATTACAATATCATAGCGAATGAAACTGTTTTAGAAAGGTAACCAGTTTAATTTAAATTGATCAAACATTAGAGTAAATGATAATGAAAAAGGATGGCAAACTCCCACGTGGAGTGCCTAGTGGTGGCGTCGAGAACGATTGAAATTACTCCAAACTTTCCTGGAGGTGAAACCCTGCAAATTTGGAATGAATTTTTATAAACCCTTTTACCCAACCGTAAGGTGGGACGATATGAATTTCGGAGGTACTCGACCGTGCGGCGAGGCAGCGGGAGCGCCCATATCATAGAAGTGTGCGAGAAACGGGACACTTTCTGGACAGATCTGCCGAATCAACAGCGATCAATGTTCAGACGTGTCACCTGGACACACGCCTCCGTGTAAACAGGCCGCATTCCGCTGTATATGTAGCATGTGTATAAATGCACGCGGTCGATATGGTTTTATAATGCAAGTGTCAGAGCATAAGGGTTATTATTTCTTTATACGGTATTTAACATGATGCCTAAATATTTTCAATATTAAAGGTATGTCAGTCTGTGCCTAAAAATAAGCCAAATAATGTACATGATTAATGAATTCTTTATCTCTATCTTCATATCTGCATGAACGCGTGCTCCAGTGTATATGCACTGGTGCTGCCATCTGTAGCTTGATGTAAACAGCAATGTACCGGTCTATTTATATTGCACCAATGCGTGCTCGTGCTGCGGTTGTTGTAGGTAAATAAAATGAAACAAAAACAGGCAGTTGGCAACTTAAAACATTATACATCAGTAGCACGTTTTTAAACGATTAAATTAGTCTACACATTATGCTTTTAAGGAAAAATTGATTTTGACTGTTAATTATAACGTACTGATATGTAATTTATAATGTAAGCCTATTAAGATTATCTTTTGTTTGAGCGGTTAATAATTTTCAATCGCAAAGTAGTGATAAACGAATAAAGGACATTCAAAAGTGTGGCCTCTTAAGGACTTGGTGCGTGATGTCAAATTTCAATATATGTTCTTACTAATGAAGCTTAATGAATATCGGGATATCAAAGTAAAAACATGGTGTTTTGATACAGAATATTCGCCCCTATGCTTTGATTGATAGATCAGTCATTTCAGAACACAGTTTTTAAAAACGAAAGAAAAATACAAAACGCTATACAGGTAGGTCTACACGCATGCATATTGCTCAGCATTTAGCATGTAAAACTAGATAGTGGTATGGATATAATGCATACTATTTTTGAACTGATACATGGATTTGGTCCTTTCAGGTTATGTTGCCAGATGTTTAAGGCGAATCTCATCATATATCACATTTGTTTGGGAATCCTAATAACCTATGCGCACAAATATATACCGAGGAACTAGATCTAGTCTAAAAAGAAATCATTCGTGAACAGCAATTCGTAATTTAACGGGTCTGTTGATAAATAAAAAAGGTTTTGAGGGATTCATCATGGCTTGGTGAGCACAGGCATCACATTAAATCAAGAACGTGCCTTTTGCAGCATGCGTGCGCAGTGTGGATATTTTTTAAAATATCAAATTTATTTCATCTTTCATTATTTTCCAATTTTTTTTTTTCAATTTTACATAATTATTTATTAATAATTATCGAAACTTACTTGAAATTGATATAAAAGCTATGCCCCATATGATGCTCCATATCCAGCCTAACAGCAGCAAGAAAGTGGTGCAGCACTGAAGTACAGCCACCCAGGTATTAATCCAGACAACTTGCAGCTTGGCGGTGCCTTCAGGTCTGGGTCGGGAGCAGCAAAGGGCAGTCAAACCCGAGATGAAAGTACCTAGATTAATAATAATAATGTAGCGTTAGAGGTCTGATGGTTCAAAGCTGGAATCAAAATTATCCAGAAGTAAATGTTTTCTTTTTTTCATATAAAAATAGCGATAAAATTAACGATAAAAATTATTAACGGCAAATCGATAAAAATTATATATTGTTTACTAGTTATTGATGAACATTGTCCTAAATAATACTTTGAGATTTTTGGAAAAAAAGCTTTATAACCGGTTGTGAGCAGAATAAAGAGGGAGCCGGAGGGGTGGGGGTGGAAGTTTTTTTTTATTTTATTATTATTTTTTTTGGGGGGGGGGGGGGGGTCCGGCGTCCACCACTGAAGGTCTCGTTCGCGATTATGCAAACATGCAGTTACAATTTGGGAAAAAATAAAAATTCGATTATTTGCTCCGAACACAAATTAGA